AAAAAATGACGGATGTAAGGTTGCCTACCACGCAAGACGAAGAGCTGCCTGCCCTCTTTTTCTGCTAGAAGAAGATGGGCACAAGAACATGCAAATTGGGGAAACGATGTGTTGATAACTAATCGATACCTTTAGTAGTTTGCTTATTTTTGGGAATTAAGTAGAGAATAACGACAATTTTCGAAAAATTGTAGTTAGCCAAGATATCCACAAAATCTCGAAAACGTCCCGAGGGATTACCGAACTGTTATTAGGAAGGGGTATTAGGACTATCAAGCTCAACTGCCCTGTGAATGGGAATTTGGAATTTTGGAAAAAAACATCTCTTTTTTTAACACCTTGTAGTAGGTATCATGCTATGTGCACAATATCGTATTTCCAAAATTAGACATAAGAGTCAAAGAATCAACTATTGCTCATTTTTTTGGACGAAAATGAAGAATAACGTGAATTTTCGAAAAATTGCCATATAATCGTAGTTAGCCAAGATATCCACAAAATCTCTAAAACGTCCCGAGGGATAACCTAACTGTTATTAGAAAGGGGTATTACGACTATCCAGCTCAACTGCCCTGTGAATGGGGATTTGAAATTTTGAAAAAAAAACATCCCTTTTTTTAACACCCTGTAGTATAATGCTATGTGCACAATATCGTATTCTTAAAATTAGACTTAAGTCAAAGAATTCTGTGAATTACAATTGCTCATTTTTTTGGAAACTGGGAAATAACGTCAATTTTCGAAAAATTGGCATATAATCGTAGTAAGCCGCGATATTCACAAAATTTCGAAAAAGTTCTGAGGGATTACCTTACTTATATTAGGGAGGGGTATTACGACTTTCAAACTCAACTGCCTCATGAAAGGGAATAACTTAAGTTAAGTTAATTGAAATTTCGGAAAAAATACATCTCTTCGTTTAACACCCTGTAGTATAATGCTATGTGCAAAATATCGTATTCCCAAAATTAGACATAAGAGTCAAAGAATCAGCTATTCAGAATTTCCAAAGATTTTCAAAATCGATTCAGTAATTTTCTAATAACGAGCTTTCAAATATTTTCCAAAAAACTAGGTGCGTCGATTTTTATGACGAGCAGTTTATTTATATATTCACGTTTTATGCCAATATTCTCAAAAAGTCATTAAAATCATTATTATAAACTTTGGACGAAATCCAAGTTCATTATCATATGTGTAGGATTACGTAACGAAAAATTTATTTCCGCTGAATTATACAAGGTCGATACAATACAAAGGAATTCTTTTAACATACACTAAAATTATATGTAGAATATTATAAAATTGTTGGGGTTATTACATTAAATATTTATACTATTATATTAATTATAATCTATAGATATTAATCTACAGAACTGTTTTCCTACATAAAACAACATGAATGATTATAATCATTATCAGAAGCGTATTATAATATTAACCTAATATCCGAATTCGGTTATCTTGTTGACAAATTTATTTGGAAGCTGTTCCCTACATACCTACATACAACAAACACTCAAAAAATTCCACATTTTTATTGTTACTGATAAAAGTTTAAAAACAATAAAATTACAAGAATCAATGATAAAGTCTAAAATATTGATTTCAAACAACAATTTAAAAAAATTTCATTTAAAAATGTACAATATTGTTTTAAAAAAATGTATTAAATGTATAGAAAATTACTTAAACGATTTTTTATACTTCCATACTTTAATTCGTTTATTAGATCCTACAGGTTAATATAATATAATTGCTGTGTATTGCATTTCTATTGGTTTAAATTCTGTATAGTAATGGAAAGAAATGTATCATAATGCATCTTATAATAAGATCAATTTTGATGCAAATGTTCTATTATTACTATACAGATTTCTAACCAACAGAAAGGCAATTTTAATATCAACTATTGCCTTGAATGTCTGACATGTACTATCGCTAACAAAAAAAACTCATACAGCTTAAAAATCTAGTGTTCCTGATTTTCTATCATTTTGTTGGAGTAATTATGGCTTTTAACATGATACGTCACATTTGAAAGGTCTAAAATTTAATACAAAGTTAGGTTGAAGTTTGAAAAAAAAAAATATTTCGTCATCCCTCTGTTTTTGTCAATTACTGCCCGCAAACGGCAAATCATGGAAGTCGCCGTCTTGCTTTATCTAGTTCCAAATGGCTTCAATGGCTTGCCAGAGTTCGTCTGCATTGTTTGGTTGAAAATGTTGTTAAAAAAGTCATAATGGATGTGACAAAGCTCGATATCAGCTTGACATTGACGAACAAGTTTTATTTACACAGCCACAATATAGCTGTATGAGTTTTTTTTGTTAGCGATAGTATGCAGTAGGTACTAATATTTATTAATTTTGGGTGTTTACATAACACATTTTTGAACTTTAAATTTTCTTAAGTTAAAATTAGTGATCATGTGTAAATGTAAACTTGAAAATTTAACCCCGCCAGAAATTGTAACAGGTCGCAAAAGCCGCAAACAAATTATTACCCATAAAATCAGCAAAAAGGTACAAAACAGAATTAATTTTCTTCTTTATTATGATTTATGGTCGTTGCATATAAACTAATCGAATAAAGTTAAGCATATTAAGATATTTTGAACAAAACATAAATTTAACGATATAATTTTATACGCGCTGTATATTTTATTTTATTATTTGGTAATAAAAACCTAAAAATGAAAGAATCTTAGACAAAAAATCAGTCGGTATCCAGTTTGATTTCAACTTTGTTCAAAAATATGCTTAACTTTTTTCGATCAGTTTATATACTATAGTATATATGTACATATGTATATATATATATATATAATATTATATATACTATTACAAGAATGTTAATATCAGCATATTAATTAATATCTCAATATTTTATAGATTGTGTCATGTATTAATAGATCGTTATAAACTGCAATTAATAAAGATTATTTAATTAATTCTACACTGAAAGAAATATATGTTTGTTTTAGCAATGTATGTGGACTACCACATAAAATATATTTACCTTAACCATTTTTATATTTAGTTTTAACATATTATGTTAAAACTAAATATAATATATGTTTGTTTTAGCAATGTATGTGGTAGTCCATATATGAACCACAATGCAATGCTAAAACAAACATATATTTCTTTCAGTGTATTATATCTTATTAATATATCATATCTCAAAAATATGGTTATTCTAATATAAATACAGGGCGGCATAAAATGAACGTTATATTTCTTCCCAATTATCACATAAGGGCGTATCTCATATTTAACAATTTTACAGAGCATTTTACAGATTGAAATTTTTAGCCTATTTCAATTAATTTTTGGAAAAAATTTACTATAGTTTACTAGGTATTAATACTAAAATTTTACAGAGCATTTTAAAGATTGAAAGTTTTTAGCTACTTTAAACTATTTAAAAAAAAGTTCTACTAGGTAATCTTTAAAATGCTCTGTAAAATTGTTAAATACCTATAAGAATCAGAATTTTAATGAGATACGCCATTATGCAATAATCCATGCCAAATTTACCTATCATATGAGTTTGCATTTGCGGTTTTGCTAAAATTGAAATATGTATATTTTGTACGTATTTTAGTCGTTAATTTTTAATATCAAATATTCAAAAATACCGAAGTAAAAAACTTCGGGCTGCCTTAAAAAACTGAATTTACTAACAAATAATAATTAAACAAATCATCATTGAAATCAAACTAACTTGTAAATAATATGGATTCCCCCTATTATTAACAATGTGGTCTACCGCACGTGCTTTAAATTTAGTGGCGTAACGGGGGGTGGGACAAAGGGGACGGTTTGCCCTGGTTGTTTCTAAATAAATAAATACCTACTGAAAATTTAAAAATATTTAGATTCAAAAACGATTACCTAACTCTGTATATTCTAAAAATGCCATCTTGATTAAATAATATAAATAAAATGACGATGTAACTACTATATTATAGGAGATATCAAACAATGGAAAAAATAATTGAGTGTGCATTGAAAATTATCTGATTATTATAATATAATGCTACTTAACGACCAAACAATTGTTTCTAAATATAATTTAAGTAGCAATAGCTCCTTAAATTATATCAAAAATATTTTATTTAAAAAATTCAATATTTAGATATGTATACATAATTTAAGTAGCTATAGCAATATATTGCTACTTAAATTGTTTGGTCGTTAAGTAGGATCAGTACCAATCTAAAAATTGTTTTTTATATGAATTAATGTTTACCACCTTAAAACGCTCATTATCATACATGTTTTAAATAAACATTGACAAGGTATTATGCACAGTGGTATTATGGCGTTTTAGTCACAGGCTAAAGTTATATTACAATACAATCGTTAATATACATACAGTGCCTTTGTGAAATATTGTGAGATACTAAAATGTGGAAATTATTTTATTTAACTGAATACTAAAAAACACAAAATTATTGAAAAGTGTCTTGACGCCAATCTTTCAACGTTTGTACTGACTTTTTGATTTTTCTGGCAGCAAACTAGTATCCTACCTATTTATTTAGGATAGAGTACCCATTCATTGACAAACTGACACTGAAATTTTAAAAGTCGGTAAAACAGATTTCTTACAACTTACACATTACATGAATAGATAATATTTAAATTAATTAATGATATTTGTCGTTTATAAACTTTTCTAGACATTATTTTTTTAATATGTTTATTTATTACTTTTAAATCCCTTTAATTCCTCTAATTATTATTTTGATATCTGAGGATCCAAGATACCTGGTAATAAAAAAAATCAATGGCATGTACCTATTATTGTTTTTTTTAAGTATTTTTAAAATTTAGTTATCTTTATAACAACATGTTTACCAATTTATTGATGATCTATAAATAATGAGTGAAATGCTGATTGATTAGTAGTTTTACATTTTCTATGCTAAAGTGAGTTTATACAAAAAATCAAAAAAAAAATGTTTTACAATTATTTTCTTCTATTTTCAGACGTTTCTGCATGAGGCAGGGGGTTTTCCAGTATAGTGTTAATTAGGTAATGGACGCAGGTCTCAAAAAGACAAGGAAACCAAATCCAAGAGAAAATGCATTTCCTTTATCCGCAGCAACATTTTGGTGAGTAAAAAATTCCATTTTCTCAAGAAAACGCTTAAGATATTATGTAACTGCTTGTAAATTATTACTTTCGCACCCCTTTATGTATTTTCCGGCATTTACATATTGATCTGTTTGTTACAAAAACACCTCTCATGAAATATTCATTGAAAACGTTTCCTATTATTTTATGTTTGTTTTATGTATATTATTTTTAAAACAATTTAATAGTACATTAATAATAATAGTAATTAATAGACCAGGCAGAAAAACTCCAATATTAAAAAACTTTCGGGGTTTATATACTATTTTTTAAGCATTTAATTGAATTTTTTTTTAAATGACATTTTAGCTTTATTTTTGTATGGAGTTAATAATGGAATAATAATTTGACATTTTATCTAGTATTAATATGAAGTATTTCTATATATAGACTTATGAGTGTTATACATAATATTATAAAAAAAGTGTTTATTGTATTTGTACCTTTTTCATAACTTTTTGATTGATTATTTTTTATAATTTTCTAGAAGTGTTTTCCCTTTTTTTATTTAATGATATTGATTTTTTTTTCAATTTATAAATAAGTTTGAATCATACGCACGGAGAAAACTGTTTTGTAATGTTTACTGAATAATCAGATAAATTAGGTTTAGGGTTTAGTAATGATTTCCAAACTATTGTGATTATTTTATTTTAATGTTTTTTATGATTTACGATTTTTTATTTTTTACATGGATTTTTTTTAGTCGTTTATGTTTCAATATTTTAGACCAGGATTTTTTTTAAATAATTTTAAATATTTAAGTATATTATTTTAAGTATCTATTTGTTTTTTAATAATTTTTTTAACTGGACTAATGATTATTGTGGTAATTATAGGTTAATTAGTTCCACAAATTCAAGGTTTATTTATGACATAAGAATTAAAATTATTTGTAATTACTTACCTAAAATATAAAAATCAAAGTACAAAAGTACCTAACATTTTATTTTTAGATGTCCTTATTTTTTGTTACCGTTGCAATGTAATACAATATACCAACCAAGTTTATCTGTAAAAAATATTAGGTGTCTCCTTTTTAACCTACATATCTTTATTAATTGATAAAAATTGCTAATTAATTGTCTACATGGCAATAAATATGTACACATTTTTATCTTATTTTTCTGCGTCTTAATAACTCTATTAAAGTTTTTTAAACTATAAACATTAATATCATTTAAATTTGTTTTATAAAAAAATACCCACAATACATATGTATATATATAGGTATACCCAGAGCTGGGAGTATCTTGAATAAAAAGATACTTAAAAGTAACATAGATACTTACTTTTTATATTTGACAGAATAGTTAATTACTTATTCAATAGTATATTCTGTAACAAGTTTGGAATACAGCATATTCCGCTCGAGTGAAGAGTTTGTCACACGTTTCCAAAAAAAAAACCCTAGAAAAATAATTTAATTGGAAGAAAGTAAGGTTGGATCGGTCTAAAATTTGTTAGATATTAAAAACAGAGATGTCGCCACGAGTGTTTATTCTGTCAGATGATAGAATATTTCATTCTGTTAACACCTTACGGAATATATGTCATTCCATAGATAAAAGTGATATTAGAACGGTCAAATTCTGTAATAGGAGTAGAAAAAATATCTTTAACTTAGTTACTTTGGAAAATTATCTTGTAACTTGTATCTTAAAAAGTATCTAAGTTACTCGGTAAAGTAACTAATCTTAGTTATACTGAAAAGTATCTAAGTTACCCTGAAAAGTATCTAAGTAATTTTAAAAACTATCTTTGTTACTTTAAAGTACCTATCTAATTTACTTGAATGTATCTAAGTAACTAAGATAGTTTTTAAAATTACTTAGATACTTTTCAGGGTAACTTAGATACTTTTCAGTGTAACTTAGACACTTTCTTAGAGAAAATTGGGGGAATTCCAGAATGATTCAAAGTAATTACCTAATCAACAACTTGTTGAATTATTATAATTTTATAGTTTTTATTCAAACATAAAAGTAACTTAGTTACTTAAAAGTATCTTAGTTACTCAAAAGTAACTTAGATACTTTCATATAGTATCTTGTAACTAAAGATACTTTTAACTCAAAGTATCTAGATACCAAAGGTAACTAACTTATTTTGTTTAAAGTATCTTAGAAAAGTAACTAGATACTTTTCAGAAGTAACTTTCCCAGCTCTGGGTATACCTATAGGCTATAGGTATAGTAAATATATTAACTAAAAATATAAATATTGTTATTTATGTTTTCATCGTATATTCCTATAGTATTTATTATTGCTTCGTACACCGGATACCTAGGTACATTTTAAATTCCATTTTTTTTATTTTAGCTATACGATCCCAACGTTTATCCAGGGATTCAAGCGTGACCTAGAGGAATCTGACTTGACTAAAACTCTATCAGAGCATAAGTCGAGCAGATTAGGAAACAGCATGGAAAAATATTGGAAACTTGAAGAAGAAAGAGCTGCGAAAAAGAATACGACTCCTTCACTGGGTCGCGTATTATTCAAGGTTTTTGGTCTCGAATTTATGCTGTATGGATTAGCATTGGCCCTCAGTGAAGCTATTAAGTAAGTGAAAACTGTTTGAGATATTTGGTACTCGAAAATCTTATTGGTAAAACATTTTACCAGAAAATGGGATCCCTTTTTTGTCAAATTATATATATATATATACAGGTTGTTTAAAAAACTTCTTTAACGAATCTAAAAAAAATGTTCCTTATGCTAAAAATTTAAGTAGAAAAAGCGATAAAATGTTCGATAGATATTAGATACAAATTGTACCATACAATTGATGGATTTTTTTTTAAATATTTTAGAAAATTATGATAATTTAAAAAATGCAACTTTTTTGAAATTTGTCATTGTCATTGGCCGATTTTTAAATTATGCCACTGTGCGAATTTGTCCTACCATATAAAAAATATTTATGACACTGCGAATTTTTTCTACCATTTTTATATTTTTCCTACCATTTTTTTAAATTGTTGCCAAATTTTTAGAGATTTCGAATATTTCGGAAATTTGTTTTTTATATTTATGCTACTGTGCGAATTTGTCCTACAATTTTTAAGTTTATTCCACTGAGTTTTTACACATTTTTTAAATTTATGCCACTTTGAAAATATTGGAAAATTTAAATATTTTTAAAATTTTCGAAATTATAAAAATTTCGAAGATTTGTCGTACTATTAAATTTAAGCTAATGTGCCTATTTCTTGTACCATTTTTAAATTTATTCTACTGGACAAGTTTTTCATACCATTTTTTAAATTTATGCAACCGAGTATGCAAACGTGCGAAATTTTAAAAAAATTTAATATTTTGAAAATTAAGGAAATTTGTCCCACCATTTTTATTAAATGTATGCCACTGTGCAAAATTTTCCATTTTTTAATTTAAATTTATTATACTGTTCAAGGTTTTTTTTAATTTATGGATGTAAGGGCAGTTTTCAATTACCCAGTTATAAAGGGTGATTCATTTAGACCTTTTTTTTTTTAAATTCTAAATTAAACGCATAAAATGGAATTGGATGGTGAAATCTTTATTAGGACCTGAAAGAACAATCTTTGCCATTTATTTTTTGAAAATAATTTTATTTAAATGCTGGCCGCGACTACGCCTTACGTGGTCTATTCGGAAGGTCCAACTTTCGATCACTCTTTCTAGCATTGCGACCGGTATCTGCCCAATTACGCGAGTAAGTCCTGAATCGTAGCTTGCTTATCGACGAAGACTTTTGATTTAACATGACCCCAGAAAAAAGTCCAAGGGTGTGATATCCAGGGCCGTAGCGACGGACTCAGGGGCCCCGGTGCAAAACTTTAGGATAGGATAGGATATCGAAAATTACGATTTTTTAGTAAAACTTTTTAGTTTTGGGGGCCCCTTTGAGGTCGGGGGCCCTGGTGCACCGCACCGCCTGCACCAGCCTCGCTACGGCCCTGGTGATATCACACGATCTAGGCGGCCAATTGACAGGTCCAAAACGCGAAATTATCTGCTCACCAAAATGATTTCTTAATAAAGCTATTGTTTCGCGCGCTGTGTGTGCCATCGTGGCCAGCATTTAAATGAAATTATTGCCAAAAAATAAATGTCAAAGATTGTTCTTTCAGGTCATAATAAAGATTTCACCATCCAATTCCATTTTATGCGTTTTATTTAGAATTAAAAAAAAAAGGTCTAAATGAATCACCCGTTATATAAATCAAATGTAAGGGTAGATTTAATTTTGCCCCACGCCTATCTACACTCTCAATGCGCCAAAATAGAAGTATACCTTCAAAAAATATCTAAATGCGTTTAAAATATCCTGTATATCTTTGTTTTTAACTATTATAACCCTTGGTAAAAATAATTTTTAATTATTTAGATTGAACCAGCCCCTTTTTCTTGGACATTTGGTGAGCTATTTTACCCCAAAACGGCACTTAATGAATGACACTTCTACTAATTTTAGTAACGTGTATGACGAGCCTTATAGCAACGAGACCAAGCAGTAAATATTAATAGTGTGTGCATAACTTTATCATTGTTCATATCTACACGCTTTTACTAATATTTTTTCTTTCTCTACCTTTTCCACACACACTTAATAGTAGTTAGTACTAACTTAGTAGACTAGTTTTCTTTTTAGTTGTAGTTTTGTGCTACCAATTCCATCATAAAAATCTTAAAATTATTTTCATAATTTTGCTGACCTTTAAATGTTATAGGCATATTTTTAGATAATTTTATGATTTTTAAATGTTTTACCATCCAATTAGTAACAACACCATGTGTAAAAGGTCTTTACAAAAATCTTCCACATATTTCGTGGACCAAAATTTGAACCAGGTATTGAGCTTTTGTAAAAACTTTTTACAGACATAATATATTATATAACACCATTATTTTTTTTCCAAAACTATTAAGCCATAGTTCCATCCAAAAATTTTAAGTTAGCAAGTTAACAAATGCAACTTTTCTGTTGCAGACCCAATATTGACATATCTATTTTTCATATTTTTTCTCTTTATTTTTGGATGAAATTCGATTCAACTGTTTTGGTTTCATTGTACATATTTTTTTAACCCCATACATTAACACTTACAAAGATCTATTAATGCTTATTTTATTTAGGTATTATAAAAATTATCAAATACATAAAGTGAAGTGACCTTTTTCTCGAGATTAAATTTTTATAAAGTAAAACTTTATGTCGGTATATTTTTCCAAGTTGCACATCTTTATAAAATTGTCAATAAAAGATCTTTCAAATATAAACCTAAAACATATTTGTTCATAAACTAAATTTCAGGATTGTTCAGCCAATTTTCCTTGGTCAACTACTGTCGTTTTACGTTCCTGGTCAGAGCGCAATCACCCAAGAAGAAGCCTACTACTACGCAACGGGGGTGGTGCTATGTTCCTTGATAAACATCCTAACCTCCCACCCCTACATGATGGGCGTGCTCCACATGGGTATGAAAGTCAGGGTCGCCTGTTGCTCGTTGATATACAGAAAAGCCCTGAAGTTGAGCAAAACGGCCCTGGGAGAGACCACGGCGGGTCAAGTGGTGAACTTACTGTCAAACGATGTGAATAGGTTCGATGTTGCGGTCATTTTTGCCCATAATTTATGGGTGGGACCATTGGAAACTATAGTTTGCACGTATTTGATGTACCTGCAAGTTGGGGTGTCGGCTGTGATAGGGGTGCTGCTTCTGATTGCCTTTATACCCATACAAAGTAAGATATTTTTCTTCATTCTTTGTAGTAAAAAATAGTAAGAAAAAGTCAAAAAAGATATTTTAAACAGTTTTTAAGTATGTTTTTGAAACATTTTGTTTTAAACATGCCAACCCTGCCCAAAATGGACACTTTAAATAACAATAAAACATGTTTTTCAAATAAGATCAAATATTTATTGTGGCAACATTTACAAAATTTTTTTTGCATACCATAAGTTAAATTAAGATATCCTTTAAAATGGAGTTTTAAAAGTCTTGTTTAAAACATTTTATTTTAAACATGTTAACCCTGCCTTAAGTTGAGATGTTTTTATTGGTATTTTTTGGAGGGTAAAAGAAACAGTAAACAAAGCTGAATTGAAAGTAAACAAAAAAAGTACAATAATACACAAAAGTAAAAAAGGTAAAACAAGTTAAATATGTGGTATACAAGGTAGGGTGTTTCTATTTGTATTTTTTTAAATTTAAAAAAAGTCAAAAAACGTCTAAACCTAAAAAAAGAAAAAAATAGTCAAGAGGTAGAAAAAATCAGATTGATTGAAAATAAAAAAAGTTTATAAAGTAGCTTGTTACTATACAAGGTGAGATGTTTTTATTTGTATTTAAAAAAAGTATTTTACTTTTACTTCTTCCAAACCTAAAAAAAGTCAAAAAGTAAAAAAAACAGTAAAAATGTTAAATTGAAAATAAACACAAAATAAAACTAAAAAGAAAATAAAAAAGCCAAAAACTCAAATAAAAAAAGTAATATGTTTTTATTTGTAAATTTGTAGTTCAAAAAGTGAAGGAAGTTTAAAAAAAATCACAGAAAAGTCGGAAAAAGGCAATAATAAAAATTTAAATCAAAAATAAAAAAGTCGAAAAAAATAGTCTATGTAACCTTTCAGCTCATAACTTTATAATAATAATAATAATCTTTATTTTCTTTGACTAATAATACACCAGTATAGAAATTGTCAAAAACATTTAGTGTACAGACACACTTTTACATTTATGAATACAGGGTGTTTCATTTCGAACTTTTGTTTTAAATTGTTTTCAGAGCCGAATATTGTTGATTTAATGTTAATTTTTGTTTTTCAAACGTTTCAAATAATACATTTTACAAGGAAACCCAATTTTCATAAATTTTGAATTACAGCGCCATCTGTTGATAAATTGAAAAAAAGTTTCAAATAAAAGTTATTAATTTTTTTATGTACTACCAAAATCTGTGAGAAAAATAGGGTAATTCCATTTGACTTTCTAAAGTTACCCCCGTTTCACCCTTAAGGCTAGCGGTAGGACCAAATAATGTCCCCTTTGGTCACAATAACCTTTAATTTAAGACATTTTTCCGTGAAATGCGTATTTCTAGAGATATTGAGCTGTCTCAAGTTAAAAGAAACACCCTGTATATTAGTTAAGATTATTAATTCTCTCCACCAATAAAACCATACCTAAAAATTTTAAATGCAATGTTATTTTTCGTATTTCAGTATATTTGGGGAAAAAAATATCCGTGTTCCGTCTCAGAACTGCCCTTAGAACCGATGAAAGAGTCAGATTAATGAACGAAATTATATCGGGCATACAAGTTATAAAGATGTACGCTTGGGAAAAACCATTCGCCCAATTGGTGGCATTGGCCAGGAGGTAAATAAACTCCTTAAAAATCCCGAAATACAATTTAATATCTCCCTATAACTTTAATATTCCAGGTACGAAATCAAGTCCATAAGAATAGCATCCTTCATGAGGGGCATAATTTTGTCGTTCATTATGTACAGCACGAGGATGGCGATTTTCGCCACCATTTTGGCTTACGTGCTTCTCGACAATGATATTACAGCGGAAAAAGTTTTCGTCCTCACCTCTTTCTACAACATTTTAAGACAAACGATGACCGTCTTTTTCCCGCAAGGTATCTCCCAAGTTGCTGAAGCAAACGTGTCCATAAGCAGGCTGAATAAATTCATGATGTACGACGAAACCATGATTGCCAAGGAAATCAGAATGGCCGAAAAAAGCGGTGCCAAAATAAACGGGAATATTACCACCGAAGCTGATGGTACCGAAAAGGGTATTTTTATGCAAGACGCCACTGCCAAATGGAATAACGCCTCCGTGGACAATACTTTTACTGATATTAACCTGCAAGCTGCTCCTGGAAAGTTGTTAGCCATTATTGGTAAGAAAACAACATTTTTTTGATAACATAACACTATGATTTCATTTTAGGTCCAGTTGGAAGTGGAAAAACTTCGCTTTTCCATGCTATGCTTCAAGAGTTGCCTTTGATTAGTGGGAAAATGAAAATTAATGGGGAGATTAGTTATGCCTCTCAGGAACCTTGGCTTTTTGCGGGGTCTGTTAGGCAAAATATTCTCTTTGGGTTGCCTATGGACAGAGACAGGTAATAACTAACTTTTAAATTAAAAATGTTTATATTCATAGACATTTTTACTTATTTTATTTATTTTTTATTAAAATCCACAATTCCGTTTTTTTATTGTTCTTGTCAGATTAACATTTTTGTCTTTTGGAATCTTCATTTTTTTTGAAATGTTTACTCTATCGGACTTTGTTATCCTTATCTTTGCAATTACATTGTTTTCTCATTCCATTGTTTCCGATTTGGTTTATATTTTATTTATTGATATGAAATTCTTTGATATTAAATATGCATATTAGCATATTATACCTACTCCCCACTCTCTTACAAGTGCTGATCCAAAAATTTCGTTTGAAGGGTGGTCCGGAATATTATATAAGAATAACCTAATATAACCTTATCTACATTAACATCAATGTCCCGGTGTTCATTTATTATTTAAATAATTTTTTAATGTTGGGATTGTAATAAAAGTCATACTTAATTTTTTTTGTATTAATGAATTGGTTTGGAGGGGCGGTCGTGACCAGAGCTGGCCAAGTACTCGAGTAGTTTTACTCGTATTTCAATTACACAAGTACTTTTTTACTCATAAGTATTTTTCATTTGAAATACTTATTACTCGTGTTTACAAACCAAATTCAATGTACTCGTAAAAAATACTCTTGGAATCCACGAGTAATATATAAGAGTATTTCCGTTTATTATATCGATGACTTTTTGCCAAAATATAGCAAGCATGAAGTCTTTTTTAAACTATATTATATACAGTATAATATAATATATTATAGCCTATGGATTTTATAACAAGTAAATATATTTATATATATATTAGTTATAGCTAAAATTATAAAGTAAACTACTTGTTATAAAACCTATAGGCTATATATAGATTAAAACAGACTTTAAAACAAGAAATGTTTTCAATTCTTGAAACTGAAGTTATGGTTTTTGCGATACTTTGTATCACCCAAATTTCTTAAGCTTAAAGCTTAATTTTCATGTATCCGTTTGTCCGTCAGTCCGTTCATCCGGGAGCGCTCTTATTGGTACAATTATAATTCGAAAATTATGACATTTTATCGGTCCGTCAAGTTTCAACTTCGTACGTCTGACAGAGAAAGGTTAAATAATTTTAACTCATCCGTCACTACACATCTGTTTTTGACGCCTAACGTTATTTTAAGATAATTTATTTTCAAATATTTTTATATTTTTTGAATAAGATTGTAAAACGGAAATATTACGTTCGTTAAAAATTAAAACTAGAACTAAAAGGACCTGCTTTTTTAAAACTATACATTTTAATGTATATTAGGGCTAGTCACAGACCTACAATATTTGTAGGTCTGTGGGGCTAGTATATTCTTTTTATAAGGTATATTTACCTACCTTTAAATTTATTAGACAGCTAACTCCCTGTTGTAAATGACATATAAAATCATATATGAAAAATCCCTGCTGGTTCCAATATGATACTATATGATTTTTGAAACAGACATTACATATAAGACCATATTGAAAACGCAGCATATTCATTTCTACACAGGCATATAAAAAACTGACCATATACAATTTATTACCTATAAATACATATTCATTCATATATGATTTAAGATGGATTTTCACTAGTAATACCACTAGAGGTCAAATTATTTCCGGAAATTTTTTCGAGCTCATGAATATTTTGAAAATTATTATTATAATTTTCTAAAAATATTCATGAGGGAGAAAAAATTTCCGGATTTAATTTGACCTCGTGCGGTATTCGGTAAGAAAATTCCACACCAAATTGTGTTTAAATAATTAAAATTTATTTTTTGATTTAACTTGACCTCGACTTGATTATTTAGTTACCATGGCAACTAAGTCAACCCCAACCTAAAAGTTATTTCAGTTTTGAAGCTGTCAAGCGGCACGACGTAAAAAAATGTAAAATTGTCTGCTGTAATGATCAATCACCGTGCAATGACTTATTTACCCGCATTATTAGAGGATTGTGGCTCCTACTTGAAGAAAGAAAATTTGTTTTGAATTGTTCACGAATATTTGCATCTTAACTATTCAAAACTCAAAGTGCTAAATGGAAAAAAAGGTGAATAGAATAGTGTCTAAATATTATATATATTTCATTAGACATAGACATTTAATTTATTTCAAGTCCTGCATTTTCGCCATTAAGAAGAAAGGAGGTGTCCAACGAATATAGAAAACATCTAAACTTTGTAATGGAAATGTATCAAAATTATCATGTAAACAAATAAAAACCAGATTGTCAAAAAAATATTCTGTCATTATAAACGTCAAAAAATTTCCAGTATAATTCGCTGTTGGGTACCCACGAGGAAAAAATTTCCACTAAAATTCAACCATTGCCATGGTGATCTATCAAAAATACACGTTTTGATTGGTTAAAAATTACAGGTGTGGAATTTTCATATAAATTTCTGTCATATAAAACCATATAAACACATACAGTTCATAATACTGATTACATATTGAATCCATAGTGTCATATAACAAACAATAAAAACATATAGAAACACTGTACGGATTCTATATGTTTCTACTGGTCATTTTCAACAGGGCTGTTAAAGTTACAATTGTTGACATAATTGCAACTATGACAATTAAGCATTAGGTAAATTTAGTAAGTGAATATACTGACACTTAATTCTATTTGTCGCAAAATCAATCCGTTAAACGTCATTAAAAAACGTATGCATGAAAATTAGAACATTTCTTATCGGATGATTTTATTGAAAAACTGACATACGGATGACGGACAAACGGATACATGAAAATTAGGCTTTAGAGTCAAATTATCTAACCAAGTAATTTTTGTGTCACTTTGACATTTCTCTATATAATAATACATATGCTACTATGGAGAACGTAAATGAAAAATATTCGCCAATTTTGGTCACTTGCACTTCTGTGTAAGATAATTTAAATTAAAGTGGTACAATTTTATCTAACATGAGCTTTCCACGAAATGACACAAGACTCTCTGAGATCTGCATACTATACAATTTACTAGTTTAGGATGCGTTCTTAACTTTCACCAAAAAACATTTTTCTACTATTCCAGATATAAAATGGTTGTGAAAAAATGTGCCTTACAGCGCGACTTCTCGCTGCTGCCTTACGGCGACAAAACCATCGTTGGCGATCGCGGTGTCTCTCTATCGGGGGGTCAAAGGGCAAGAATCAACTTGGCCAGGGCCGTCTACAAGCAGGCCGACATCTACCTGCTAGATGACCCCTTGTCGGCCGTCGACACCCACGTAGGCAAACAACTCTTCGAAGAATGCATCACTGGGTACTTAAAAAACAAGACTGTGATCCTTATAACACATCAACTTCAGTACTTGAAGGAATGCAGCAACATTTTGTTTATCGATGATGGCGCACAGAAAGCTTTGGGTACTTACAAGGAACTTCAAGCGAGTGGTTTGGACTTCACGAACTTACTGGGAGAACATAACGAGGAAGAAAAGGAAGAACATGAGTTGATGAGGCAAGGTTCGATCAAAAGTGTCGCTTCAATTGAAGTTGAAGATCCTAAAGAGGTTGAAGAGCAAAAATCCAGCGGATCTGTCGGTGCTTACGTTTACAAGGCTTACTTTAGTGCTGGGGGAAATTGCTGCGCCATTTTCACACTTTTTACACTGTTTATTATGGCGCAAATTTTCGGAAGTGCGGCAGATTACTTCATCACTTATTGGGTGAATCTGGAACAACAAGATAACGCAGAGAAAGCGAAACTTATGTCGAGTGAAACTATCTCAAACAACACACACCAACTTGGCAGTACAAGTGAAGATTTCTGGCACTTTTCAAGAGAAACCTCCATCTACATCTACTCAACAATCATCGTATTACTCGTAGTAAGTTCACTTGTTAGATCCTTCACATTCTTCAGCATATGCATGAGAGCTTCAACCAATCTTCACGACAACATGTTCTCCAGCATCACAAGAGCGACCATGAGATTCTTCAACACCAACAGTGCCGGAAGAATTTTGAATAGGTTTTCCAAAGACATGGGGTCCATTGATGAACTGTTGACTTCAGCTCTCATTGATTGTTTGCAAATCGGTCTTACCTTACTGGGTATTATTATAGTTGTAGCCGTTGTAAACCCCTTGTTGATGATACCAACGTGCCTTATCGGAGTTGTCTTCTATTTACTGAGGATTTTCTATTTGAGGACCAGCAGGAATGTTAAAAGATTGGAAGGAATAAGTATGTTTATTAGACTGGGCCAAAAAAATCGACTATATTTTTTTTATAAAGTATATCGAAAATATTGTTTGGGGTGACAAAAAAAAATTATTGTGAAGGTTTGAGTTCATAATATTAATATTAATGATATCATCGCAATTTTTTTTCCTGAGCGCGTTTTTGTTTTAGAACTCCCAAACCATTGAGTTTCACAAAATAGACTCAGATATATTTTTTAAGGAAATTAAATGCTCTACAAAAAAGGTCAAAATGAAATTTTTCGTCAGATGAACCGTTTCCTTAAAATCGTGCCTTAAAATTTGATCTTTTATCTTTGGAATTTTGTAATTCATGTAAAAATCAGTACCCGGAAAAAACCGATAAATATTCTTATGGGAAATTAAATGCTCTATAAAAAAAGTCTTTTAACATTTTTGGCCAAATTCAAATAAGGTTAAAACCTTGAATAATATTTGAATTTGGCCAAAAATGTTAAAAGACTTTTTTTATATAAAGTTGAAGTCAAACGAAATTCTTGTTTCTTTCTCTGTAGATTTATTTTTTTATGGATGATAATTTGATTTTTTTCTTTATAAATGTGTATTAAATAACTAATTAACAATTTCCAATAAAAAAACAACATAATTGTTATTATTTAAACAATTAAATAACAATAAAAATGATATTTTTTAAAGAAAATAGCTTCTTAAAGCTAAAAATTCGAATGTGTTATAATTTTTTTTAAATTTACAGTAATTTTATCATGGATAAAAGAATTCAAGTTTTTAACTGACCCAAAAAAAATCTACAGAGTAAAAAACAAGAATTTCGTTTTGAATTCATATCTTTTGATGGAGTGAATTTAGCAAAAAATGTTAGGAGACTTTTTTTGTAGATCATTTGATTTCCCATAAGAATATCTATCGGTTTTTTTCCGGGTACTGATTTATTCAGGAATTACAAAAAAGATCAAATTATAAAACTATACCAATTTTTAAGGCATGATTGTAACCAAACGGTTCATCTTACGGGAAATTTCAATCAGACCTTTTTTTAGAGCATTTAATTTTCTTCAAAAAATATTCTTAAGTCAATTTTGTTAAAGTTAATTTTTTTGGGAGTTGTGAGAGAAAAACTCGCTCAGGAAAAAAAAATCTAAAATTGCAATAGACCTCTCAATATTAATATTTCACAATAATTTTTTTTGTCACCCCAAACAATACTTTCGATATACTAATAGTCGGTTTTCTTGGCCCACTTTAATGTTTATATCGTCGGAAATAGTGCATGTTTTATTGTTGTTTTTATTTTAGCGAGAAGTCCAGTTTTCTCTCATCTTAATGCATCTCTCAACGGTCTCACTACAATCAGAGCTTTCGGTGCTCAAGAAATTTTGACTGTGGAGTTTGATAATCATCAAGACCTACATAGTTCAGCCTGGTTCAGTTTTATATCCACATCAAGAGCTTTCGGTTACTGGTTGGACTTGGTTTGTATTATCTACATAACTGTGGTCACTTTCAGCTTCTTACTTATGGGAAATGGTAAAAAAAAACATACAACATTCAAGCAAGACATAACTATTTATCTTTTCAGAACAATTTGGAGGAAACGTTGGTCTGGCGATCACTCAAGCTATCGGTTTGACCGGTATGTTCCAATGGGGAATGAGACAGTCCACAGAGTTGGAAAACCAGATGACGTCCGTCGAAAGAGTTGTGGAATACAGCAATATAGAACACGAAGGTGCGTTGGTATCCCCGGAAGACAAAAAACCGCCGAAATCGTGGCCCGAGCACGGTAAAATCGAATTCAAAGACGTGTTCCTGCGGTACTTCCCGGACGATCCGCCCGTTTTAAGGCAGTTGTGCTTCACCTTGAACCCCAAGGAGAAGGTCGGTATTGTTGGCAGGACTGGCGCGGGCAAGTCTTCCTTGATCAACGCCGTTTTTCAACTCACCGACACAGACGGCCAAATTATCATCGACGGTTATGATATTACTGTGATGGGTCTGCACGATTTGCGCTCAAAAATTTCCATTATTCCTCAGGAGCCGGTTCTGTTTTCCGGCACCATGAGGAAAAATTTGGATCCCTTCGACGATTACACCGATGCTGATCTGTGGAAAGCCTTGGAGGAGGTGGAACTCAAGGAAGCCGTTTCCGATTTGACCTCGGGTTTGAACTCGAAGATGTCCGAAGGGGGTTCGAACTTCAGCGTGGGTCAAAGGCAGCTGGTTTGCCTTGCAAGGGCCATTCTGAGGAACAACAAAATCCTGGTTTTGGACGAAGCCACTGCCAATGTGGACCCTCAAACGGACGCCTTGATCCAGAAAACTATAAGGCACAAATTCGAGGATTGCACTGTGCTGACCATCGCGCACAGACTCAACACGGTGATGGATTCGGATAAGGTTCTTGTGATGGATGCCGGCACCATGAAGGAATTCGACCACCCACATATTTTACTGCAAAATAACCAGGGTATTCTCTATGGTATGGTGCAACAAACGGGCAAAGGCATGACGGAAAATTTAACCAGAATCGCTGAAGAAAGTTATCAAAAAATGCAGTTCGAAAAGTTGTAGATCTCCTAGCCTTACAAGAAATTCTAAAACATATTTTTACAAAACCGTTTACTATTTTATTTATTGTTTTTGTTCAGATTTTTATACACACATAAGGGTACTAACAAACTTATTGATTTTATGTATTATACCATGAATTTTATAAAATAAAGTTAATTTAATATAAAACCTATTAATATCGTTTTATTTTAAACACTCTATAGTTGTTACAATGGTTCAAAAATGACCGAGAGGAAATCCAGGGTTGGATTTTTACCGGTTTCCCAATAAACAGTACTGTGGTAATCGGAATGAATAAATATATTGCATACAGTCCCTGTAAATATAAATTGAACCTATAATAATAATAATAATAATAATAATAATAGATACAATAAATACACATTTTAGATATATTTTCTATTTTACTATTTCAAAATTCAGTTGCCGGCGTTTTTTTAGAAGCCTTCAATATAAAAATGTTTGATTTTAAAGTTATGTTTGTATAAACATTATTTTGTGCTAATTTCCTAAAAAGTCTAAACTTAAATATAAATTATAATATAGTTATACTATAGTTAATTCTGCACCCAACAAATATACTTAAGTATATACCAGAGACAAGGGTATATACTGCCCTACTATGGAGAAAGGCAGTAACTGCAAAAAAATGCAAAATGCGTTTTCTTGTGCTATGGTAAAGCTATGGACATTTTCTAACCGACTTCAACACAGAAATGCAGTCAAATATCTCATAAGTTAAAAAAATCAATTAAATACCTACTGCTTTTTATAAAAATGTAGTTTATGCTAATTTCCCACAAATTTCTTGTTTAGCAGTTACTGCCTTTCTCCATAGTAGGGCAGTATAGGTACTTATAATTATAAGTACCTATAGGTACCTAATTGGATCCCTTGGCAAAACTTGAAAATCCAACGATTTAGTTCTTGAATACATAATTTACCATGTTCACTTAGATAAAATACACAAACTTACGTAACTATACAAGCATATGCTTATATATATAAGCGTTGAGTTTCTTAATCAATGATATAAGGAATAATTATTATTAATAAATCAAAATCGAGTAGCTACTAAACCAAAGTTTCGCAGTTTTTACTTGCAACGCAAAACAAATAACGAGCGCGATTTAGCGGTGCAATTGAACAAAATTTGTCGAGTAAGACTTCTTTCTGCTTTCCTCTCTTTTGTGAATTGTGAAAAAACTACTTATTTATTTAAAAATGGTGTGCACTTCGTATGCTTATAATGTATTGTTGACAATAATTGTTCTTAAATTCAAACAATGCTATCGAACTCATAGATTAGATAAAGATCGAACTCCGTTGCGAAAACCCGAGGCTTGTTTAGCGTATACTGAAAATAATCATTTCCACTAGAGATTATTCTCCTTACAATATTGTCGAAAGAATAACTTGAAGTATTTATTTATATTTATTATTGAAAGAAAAGAACTTTATTTCCTAAAAAATTGTAACGTATAAACCAATAAAACTCCACATAATGCCGGTTTTACACCAAACCGACTAGTTGAGTTGCTGTTTTAAAAAACAAAAACTCAACTGTTTTTAACGATAAAACTGTTCATACTAAACAGACAAAAATTAGTTGCTGTCGAGTTTTTGTTTTTTGTCGTTTTACATCAGAGAAACAGTTGCAGTTTTGTTTAGTTCTATTCAGAAAGTACATGGTTGTTCATTATTTTATATTATTTATTTAAAAAAATTAACATGGATAGTGACGAGGAACGCTTTTTTTCTCGTTTGCGGTTGGCTGTTGGTACGTGATTTAGAAAAAAAAAGAAAACGTCGTACACGCAGGTATTGGGTGAGATCCTTATTAAATAGAAGGAAATATGATGGTGGTGCAAAGATGTTATATACTTATTCTTTTTTGATAAATAACCTTGCCGCGACTGTCAACATGACAAAAACACAGCTCGCCGCAACTCAAGTTGATAACAGACGTTTACACCAAGCCGACTGAGTTGCAAAAAACGCAGCAACTCTTTGAAGTTACCGACATCGATCGGGAAACGAAAAACACAACAGCAACTGTTGAGTTGCCGAAAAATCTTCAAAAAATCTGCAAAAAGTTGCGGTTTTGTTTTTTTCAACTCGAATTGCTGTTTTGTCGGTTTGGTGTAAAACCGGCATAAGAGTAGATAAATTTAAATGTTTATTTTAGTCGAGTCGTATACCCCTCGTATATCGGGAAATAAAACTTTTATTATTTCTACGCATGCGCAGAAAACAACTACGCAGTGCCAAGCGCCATCTTTGTTTATTAAATTTGACATTTCTCATTAGAAATTCTGAATTGTCAGTGAATCACTAAAAATCAGAAAGATATCAAAATAATACTCTGATTAAGTGGAATTTCTGTTTTACTAGTGCATAATATTTAACTCAATTAGTTAAAAGTAGTAGAAGAACAAACCTTGGTTAAGGACAAAGGAAGTCTGGTGGTTAATCAAGATAATCTCCTTGGTCAACAAATGTTCTAAAATAGAACATAAGAATTTCTTACGAAGCTTCTAAATGGGTGCGGCTTTAGGACTGTGTTCAGCTGCACAGGTAAATAGGAATAAAATAATTACAAAATTTTGTTTTAACTGTTGTTTACATACCTACTTTTAATTTTAGCTTGCATGCTGTTGCGGAAGTGCAGCCTGTTCCCTATGCTGCTCAGCATGCCCCTCATGCAGAAACTCGACGTCGTCTCGCATAATGTATGCGTTGATGTTACTTGTGACTACGGTGGCAGCTTGTATAACCCTCTCACCAGGGTTGCAGGATGTTCTGAAGAAGGTTCCGTTTTGTAAGAATGGTTCAGGGAGTTCACTAGCTAGCGGTTTGGTTTTGGATTGCGAAAAAGCTGTGGGGTATTTGGCTGTTTATCGAATATGTTTCATACTGACCTGCTTTTTTGTTTTGATGTCAATGATCATGATTGGGGTCAAGTCTTCTAGGGATCCAAGAAGTGGAATACAAAATGGGTGAGCAATAAAGGATATATTTATTTTTCTTTCAAACATTATTAATATAATCAATAAAAATTCAGTTTAAATTTTGAGAGGATTTTTATAAAATTTAAAAATTTCTCATTGTAAAAACACAGAAAACGTAATACACTAGTGTATTGTATTAAGTTACTTAATGCGCAGTTACTTAGTGCGCACTAGTGCTTAAACTGGTATAGTGGGCTTAAAACCGTTTACAGATGTAAGATTGGAAACAATATTTTTTGTAGAAATGTATTATTATCTGAAAGATAATGCAGGCTATTATTCACAAGAATGAGGTTTGCATCTTGAGTTGCCAGACAAGAGACTTAAATCATCAAAGTGAATACTTTACTTTATTTACTCCTATTGCATAATATTGTTCTTTCTACTCCTATTGCATATTGACATTATTCGGATTTTTTCGTAAATAATGGTAACCATTATAGCCCGGCCTAACAACGGGAATATTGAACTCATTATTCACGTTGTTAGGCATCAGTGATTGGCTGATTTCAATATTCACTGTTATTTAAACCAATCAGGTTTTAAATTGGGAAAAAGTAAGGTTAACAGATGTCAGATTTGTTTATATATACGAGGGGCGACTATAATGATCTTTAAAATCGGGAAAAAGTGAGGTTATAATAAATTTTGTTATCAATGAATATTAATTAATTGGAGTAGAAAAAACATGGTCTTACACTCGAAATAATGCGCATTATTTACTTGGATGGTTTACGTTTCTCCCCTGACGGCTTGAGATGCAAACATCATCCTTGTGAATAATAGCCTGCATTATTTCTTCTATAATAATGTACTATTTATAAAACTAGTAACATAATATAAAGATTTTAAAAAATTTCGTAAATTTTCAAAATTAGCCGTTTTTGTTTTTATTTTTTTTAAATTTTTCCTTTGAGTACCTTTGTTTCACCCAATGTTTTTATAATATTTTTTTTTTAGATTTTGGGGGTTAAAGTACTTGCTTGTTGTGGGCGGTGTAGTAGGTTCCTTTTTTATCCCTGAAGGCACTTTTGGCTCGGTTTGGATGTACTTTGGAATGATTGGAGGGTTTATGTTCATCATAATCCAGTTAATTTTGATTGTCGATTTTGCTCATTCTTGGGCCGAGGCTTGGGTCGGAAATTATGAAGAAACCGAATCTAAGGGATGGTATTATGGCTTAATTGGAGTTACACTGTTAAATTATTGCATCAGCATTACCGGGATTGTTTTGTTGTTTGTGTTCTTTACCAAGGTAAGAAATTAATTACCTATGTGCTTATTGTATGCGTTATATAATTTAAAACATTTCTATTGGGGCCGATAATGGAAACATTTAAATACATGATAAGTTCAATTTGTGTGTAATATGTATATATATTTTATGCAAATTATATACATACAGTGTGCCCCATTTGTTTGCGACTCACACCTGTAAAATCTTTATTTAATGAGCGATTTTAACCGTATTTGTTTTAAAGTGTAGATCTTGATAAACTGTATTTTTGGAGCAAAAAAACAAAAAAGAATAAATTTTTAATAATTTAAATTCGCGATTTTTTTATAATAAATTTATATAAAAAAAAAAAAAAATTATAAGGAGGAATGGTTTTGTAAAATGAAAAATAATAAATATTTACAAAAATTTATTCTATCAACTAATCCATGAAAAAAACATTGAAATAAAATTAAGCTAATAGTAACATGGTATAAATATTCTTATGCTTAGTTTTGACAAATTAAAAATGCAGTAGAAACAAAAAATGGAGAAATCAAAAATTTCTCTACAATTAGATTTTTGTTACTGGCAGTAGAGGTGACACAAGAACTACATGCTAAGGTAATACAAGCCTGCTCAGCCATTACTCCAATACAAATATGAAAGTGTATTAAAATAAATGGAGCATTAGTAAAGGTGACAAAAATCTAATTGTAGAGAACTTTTGGAATTCTCTATTTTTTGTTTTATTGTTTTAAGGTTCCATTGCGATATTTATTTGTTAAAACTAAGCATAAGAATATTTATACCATGTTACTAAAGTTCATTTTTTTATCTGGACTGCGGCAACGTTGCAAATTTAGGGTTTTGGTTGGTAAATACAGTTGTCAAGTTGGTCGCATTGGTTAAAACAAACTAAGATAGTTATAAATCTAATTGTGGTTTTATATAAATTTTTGTAGGTTACATTGGGCAGTTGTCAAGTTGAGTTGTCGAAATTCGTAGTTAAAAATGCAATTAATTTGGCTTTGGTGGTGCTTGGATGAGTAAAATCATATAAAAATAGTAGTTAAATATAGGTTGCTTTACGGCCCAGAAGAGAAAGTATTCCTAGCGGATAATAATCTTCGCTTTGAAAAGAATTTATATAAAAGAAATTAAAATTTTTTGTGAACGTAAATGTTGTCCAATGGTGAATAGGTATTTTGTTAAAGCCAATAAGAATTATAATGTATACCCTGCCGAAAATGCCCCTTTAAGAACAATAGAAACCAATAGAAATTTATGTTTTACTCCAAAAATGTTCATAAGGCGATGTACTTTTTCTTTCATTGTGGCATTTGGCATAATTTCATCAAAATGAAGTTTTGCCCTCAAAAGGCCTTTTACATTCGAATTCGTTGCTATTATTTTTGGCATAATTATCTTTTTATTTATAATTGACAAGTAAATTATCAATAATAAATATTTTTGTCAATTTAACAGTGTCAAAGTATTTAATTAAATTCTTTAGCAGAAGTACCATTTTTAAATACTAAAAATACTAAGTCAAACTGGCATAAGCCACCAACCTAACAAAAAAACACTGGATAAAAAAAAATGAACTGTAGGTATTAGTTTAATTTTATTTTAGTTTTTAAATGGATAACTTGACAAAATAAATTTTTGTTAATAGTAATTATTGTGCATTTTTAATTTGGCTACAAAATCGTTCCTACTTAAAATGTTTAAATAAAATTAGTATAGGGTCGTTTTGAGAGGTGGTCTAATATGAATTCTTAAAAATTTACTCTCCAAAAATTCAGTTTATCAAGAACTACACACAAACAAATCCGGTTAAAATCAATGGGTCACACTATATAAAAATCTCCGATGCATATTTTCTTAAAAAAAATTATTTTTAGTCCGATGATTGCGATTTGAATAAATTCTTCCTTTCAATCAACCTTATTTTCTGCGTCATGGTAAGCGCAGTGTCAATTTTACCGGCGGTTCAAGAGAAAATGCCCAGGTCCGGACTTTTGCAATCTTCGGTTGTCACAATTTACGTCACCTACTTGACTTGGTCCGCCGTTGCCAACTCTAAAGGTAAAAAGACGCGAATTTATTTTTTAACGATCGCTTATTTTGTTTTGTTTTTCTTTAGAGGAATGCAATCCCGGAATGTGGGGGATATTCGGCGTGAAATCCTCATCGCACAGCAACATTGATATTATCGGTCTTTTCATTTGGATGTGCTGTGTGTTGTACTCCTCTCTGCGCACGGCCAGCAAATCCTCCAAGATAACCATGTCCGACAATATTTTGGCCAAAGACACCGGAGCCGGTAAGTCGCAATATTTTCTTAGCTGCAATGTTTTTAGAGTTGCTTGGTTCAATTTTTCTTTAATTCAGGGTGTTAAATATTGTTGATTTTTTTTCAGACAAAGATAAAGATTTGAAAAGTTTGGATAATAAGGATAGTAAAAATAATAAGGGTACAAATTTCAATGGTATAAAATAAGTATAATTTAACACCCTGTCTGTGCCTTAATATTTTTTTTAGCAGAGTGCCAAAATTTAAAAAAAATATAGGATAAAAAACTAAATATATTTTTACAGCGTTTTTATTTTGGACACTCTGTATAGATTTGCTTTTATTTATTTTTATTTTGTATGTATTCCATAGCATTATGTAGTGAATGTGCTCTTTTTATTTCATTTTCACGTGTTTGTACCCAAACTAATTATCAATCATTTATTTATCTAGTTGAAGGATACGGATCCAACAACTTGGTTGAAAACGAAGGTAGGATACTTTTTTCTTTGTTCCTTTATATACAGGGTGTTATGTAATTAATGTTATATATTAAAATGGGTTGTTCCTTAGGGTCCATAAAGAAGCACCTGAAATTTTTTTTTCTAAATTCCAAAGTCTAAAAATAATTTATAATAACCTTTATCCTACCAAAAAGTTAAAGGTTAATCTGGTGGATTTATTATGTTATGGTTGGTAACAGTGTTTCCAAAATCTCTCAAAAAAGTTGACAAACATTGTTTAAATTTAGCTTAATTACAAAAATGACAAAATTAACAATGCAAATTGTCAATTTGGCGTTTTTATTAATTGTTGGTTATTTTATTTTTGTACTGAAGGTAAATTCAAACAAAATCTGCCAACTTTTATGACAGAATCTAGTGCATTTCTTTTAAATTTTAGGTTATGTTTTCAAATTGTAAATATCTTAACTAAGGGAAGTGCTTTTGGATTTATTTACACAAATTAAATGTTTAAAATTTAACCTGTGAACTGGTCCCAATTTCATCTGAGTAAACAGAGAAAAAAACTGATGAAAAAATTAATTTTGTGGTTATGGATTTCAAATTTCAAAGGTACTAAATTTTCTAATCATTGCTTAAGCTAATAGCTGGATCAGTAAATAAATACAGAAGGGTATTAGAGCTTTAAGGGCATAAAACTTTTGTATTTATTGAGTTTTTATTTGTTTTTTGCAAGAAAAATTTTTAGTAACAATTTTTTACATCTGGCAACGCATAGCTACTTTGTTGGTTGGTATCTATGTACTCACAAAATACAGGTGTGCAGAGATAAACAAGTGTGTAACCAGTGGCGTATCACAAAAAATATAAAAAACTTCTAATGCATATTTTTTCTTTATCTTTGGAAAAATGTTTTTTTAAATATTTTTCCTTTATTGCTTATGTCAAAAGGTATTCAGTATTTTAATATATAACATTAATTACATAACACCCTGTATAATAATAAATTCCTTTTTAACCATCAGTTTTTCCCGAGATTTAGGTTCACCATAATGCTGTGGGGTTTTAATTTGAAAGCCTTGATATAATTTTATTGATTATTTTTTTTCTCTTTCTCTCTCTCCTTGTCCTATGATGGTGTATTGAATATAGAACCGTATGCCCCTCTCGCAGGTAATGACAGTGATGGCGGCGAAAGTGGCAGGAAGGTTTGGGACAACGAAGAGGAGACCGTCGCTTACAATTGGAGCTTTTTCCACATCATGTTTGCCTTGGCAACCCTTTACGTCATGATGACCCTTACCAATTGGTACAAGTAAGAAGTCTGATAAAAGTAAATGGGCAAAAAGTGTACATAAAAAACTTTTTTTCAGACCAAATGCTTCTTCCTTGGAAACTTTCACGGTAAACGCTGGCTCAATGTGGATAAAGGCAATATCAAGTTGGCTATGCCTTGCTCTGTACTCGTGGACCCTGCTTGCTCCGATTTTGCTACGCGACAGAGAATTTGGAAATTAAACACCCTCCATTTTCTGTCAGCATTTAACACACTTATAATAATTATTATAATATAATAACTTCACTGTTTATGTGATATTTAATCCTTAATCCATTGCCCCTATTTGCAATCGATTAAATACTGTTTTATAGAGTAGTTAGGTCTACTTAAGTTTTAGTTAATTTTTTACTTTTTAGTTTTAAATAGATGTTGTGATATGAATGTATATAAAAGTTTTATCCCAAATAAAGGCTTTTTAATCTTGATTTTTTGTTTTAAATTATAAAAGAAATTGAAAACAAATTTTTGACGAAGTTTTCGAGTTAAAAAAAAAACTCGACAATGCTGTGTTCTAAGCCAATTTATGAGACCTCTAAAAACGGTTGCTATGAAAAAAAAATAATAAAGGGATTTACAAACAACGTTTTTCTATACACATTTTTAAAAAGATTTAAAATAAATGTACTTCTTGAATCAATTTCAGGTTCTCGTGAACACAAACCATGGTACATACTGTATAGAAAAACTTAATATTTGTACAGTTTAAACGCCAAGTTAAAATACAATGCCATAAAATAATGAAAATACCACAATCCACACAATGTTGTGTGGATTGTGGAAAATACATTGAAATTACCCATAGACACATTGGAGTGGACACGTAATCAAAACGTTAAAATGTGATCAAAGCTGAACCCATGATACATGGCTGAACCAAAAAATGGCGTAATTTAATTATAAATGAGATCATTCTGAATGAAAAATCGTATATACCGTATACGCGTATATTTGTTTATTTAGAAACTAGTTTAACACATACTGATTAAAATAAATGGATTTATTACGTTAATTTTGTGTACCTGTTTTGGTTATCTATGGTTAAGTTACCCGTATGCACAATCCACACATTGTGTGGATTGTGTACGTATGTATGTAATATGCCTGTGAAAGGTTATTTTACCTAGGAAAGTTTATTTCAGGCCAGAGCTGGGCCAAGTATACTGTATATTATTAGTGAAATGTACTTAAGTACCTACCGATTACAAAGTTCTTTTTATAATTTCTAAAGTACAAGTTTCAATACTATACCCACTAATTGCAAAGTACTTTAAGTACAGTACTCAGTACTTTATATATTATTTATTTCAATAGTACATGTCAACAAGACAATAGTCACTATAATTATATGCATTACGTATATGACGCAGTCCACGCCAAATCGGCCAAGAGTAGGACTTTCAATTTGCTTCAAATTTTTAGGGTCGATAGAGGAACTAAAGTAATGGAGAAATCTAAAATTTCAACCTCTTTTATGCATTTTTGTAGGTTTTACAAAATACTTCTCTTATTTTTCGATTATTTAAAAACCCGAAAGACAAAAAATTTCAAAAAAATCATATAAACATATTTTTTGAGGCTCTTTAAGATAAAATAGAGATAAAAAAAATTTGGTCAAAAATACTCAAAAAAAATCAATTTTTTTTATTAAAATTTAAATTCCCAAAGAACGCCACGGTGGCGTCGCCACCTCAAATTTAAAAAAAATCTTTATGATAGCCCTAAGTTTTCCGCATGCATGTGTAATCGTCGCTGCAAATCCAAGTCTACGCGTAGACTATATTTTATTAAAACTCCAAATTATTTTTTTCTTCCAAGTTATTAAAAAAACAAAACAATTAAATTAAAATATCGTCGATAGTTTAGCAAGTTTATGCTATGTGCAAATAATTTTTTTTTACCGATTTAAGAAAATATTTAAAAAAACTTACTATTACAATATCAATGTTTTAGTTTACTAATTTTTTATTTAGGTTTTTTGATGTCATTTTTAGTAGGAATCTATCGGAAGTGTTTGTACCTAAAATAAAATCCATAAACACTATTTATGCTGCGCCTAAAGGTTTAGGGTTAAAATAAAACAATTTTTTAATAAATTTACACTTTATTAATTTGCCTCGCAAAAATAGTTTTTCCAGTTTCTTAAATTTAAAATTCTGTATTTTTATTAGACAAATCTCTGGCAAATCAGACCATCCCTGATTGATAGAAGGGACAAAAATCCGAATAAATTCATTTTTTTCTATGATTAAAACACGTCAGACATTTGGTAGAGACATAGAGACTTTCTCCATGGTAGAGATGAAAATATTCATCTTTGTTTCAAGAATAGTAACCACTGAAACAGTATCTCTTGCACGAAGGGTTTATTTAATAAATATTTACATCTAATCTAACATTCAGTTGCAAGGAATGTGAAATAAATAGTGAGTTTTATGTATGTACAAATACAGATTCCAGCCCGCAAAATAAAATGACTGTAATTTGCCTTTATTTCGATCAAAAATAAATGCTAATACTTTAACATAACCCAACTGAGCTGGACTTGCGGATTGAATTGAAAAATGATACTATTAAATTTATTTAATTTTTTAATTCTTTGACTCTCTGTATGTGCATTTCGTCTAGACTTTTCTTAGCTTTCTGAGAAATATCGTCCAGTGACTGTTTAGCGCTCGAAGTAATATCATCTAGGGACTTTTTGGTCTGGTTGAGGATTTCATCCGTGCTCCTAGTGAGATCCTTAACCTCATCATTTAACTTATTTATCACCCATTCCATCGCTTGCCGGCCCTTGCCCGCGTTATTTGAAATTTTGTTCGTCAAAAGATCTTCCATGTAGTTTGTGAGAGGTACGCCTTTGACCGTGACCACGGCTTCCTGAGTCAAAAGGGTTTTTCCCGGATCGGAGGGGTGAGGCGTGTACTTGATCGTTTCGTTTACGGCTATGTGTCTGCAGAATGTCAAATTTATTGTTTTGAGGATCATCTGTCTGGTCGAGGGGTTTACTTCCGAGTGCTCCCGGGCGTAGCACACTTTGGCTGACCCTATGAGCTTTATAAGAAAAAAAGGTTAAACACCCTGGGTAAAATTAAAGTAATGAAGAATAATGGAAATTCGCATTAAAAAAATTAACCAATGAATAAATAATAATAATTTAATTATATAGTTCAAATGAAATTCTTTAATAAAATGTAATAACCAAGGAAATAAATCCACATGTTTTTTTTCTCGGAACCACGCTCAAAATCTTCGTATATAAAGGGTTTTCCATTTAAAGCGTCATAACTTTAACCCTAAAAATAAGGCTGCTCTGGAATGTAAATGTCAAATCTTGACAACACATGTGTTCAGTACATTGTGTCAAATTAATATGGACAGATAACAATTTAACAGCGCTTAGAAATAATTCGTATTTACCATCAAAATGCATGTTTGGTTTGCCAAACATTTTGCAAGTTGCGAGAAATTTTTTATCGTTTAAGTTAGAAAAAACTGGTTTACTGGCAAATAAGTCAACTTTTGTGCATCTAAAGGATCATGTGAAATCTCAGGTTTACAAAAATAAGCCACGAACAATTCTCGACCTTAAACGAAACATTAAACGCACTATTCAAAGTATACCACGCGATATTTGTAAAAGAATAGTAGAAAATTAGGCCTTCAGAATGCATTCAGTCAGGCAAAGTCGAGGGGGACATTTAAACGATATTATATTTAAAACATAATATAATGTCATCGATCGTTCTTCAAAATAAAATATAGATTACGGGATTATAACATGTAGTTATTTTTTTATCTCATTTAAAAGTTCTGACGCTCTAAATGGAAAACCCTTTATATACAAATAATCCTGTAAAGAGATGAGCTCTTAATTTTAAAATTAAGATGCTCCGCATCGCACTTTTCGATTTTCCATAAGAATAACATAGGAAAAATTATGTTTGTTTTTTCTGATTTTGTAACTAACTAACGATAGGTCGTACTAACATATTTTTGTAGAGAATTGAACGCTCTACATTGTATAGAGTCTACAAAAAAGGTCTCTTATGATTTTGATTCTTCTAAAGTAGGTTATTTAAGGTTAAAATTATACGAAATTTTTGTGTTTTTTTAAACTTTTTTGACGACTCTACCCGACTCATTTAAAAAAAATTTGTAGAGAATTAAACGCTCTACAAAAAAGGTCAAGTCATTTTTCGATAAGTTAACATAACTATAGATATTACGATCTCGAAAAACTCCAAAATTTTATGGTAGACATATTTTTAAACGATTTTAGCTAAAAGTTTGTTGGAAAAACTCCTGTTACAGCTTGATTGTAATAATCTTGGAATACCAGAAAATTTTAAAAAATGTTATTAGGAGCAATATTTTTGCATGAGTCGGGTAGATTTGCAAAAAAAGAAAAAATAATAACCCTGAAAGCTATTTGTAGAACTTTCTGCTACTTTTGGCTCAAATCGTTTAAAAATATTTATATCATAAAATTTTGGAGCTTTTCGAGATCTTAATATCGATAGTTATGTTTTTTCGAATTTCCAGAGCTCAAAAACAATATTTCGATTCGTTTTTATCCCTTTGAACACAAAAATGTAGGAGTTTTTTCGAGAAAACGGCTAAATTGACGGTTAATTTTACTTTAACCTTAAATAACTTTTAACCAAGTTGACTTGAAGTTGATTTTTAAATCAGTCGGGTAGACTCCAAACCAAAAAAGTTTAAAAATCCAAAAATTTCGTGTAATTTAAACTTTGACCTTAAATTACTTTAAAAGGATCTAATTGATCAAAAACTCATAAGAAACTTTTTGTAGAGCGTTTAAATCTCTACAAAAATATGTCAGGAACTTTACAGTACAACCTATCGTTCGTTAGTTACAAAAATCAGAAGAAACAAAAATAATTTTTCCTGTTATTCTTATAGAAAATCGAAAAGTGATTTTGAAATTAAGAGCTGATCTCTTCACACGCTCATTTTTATATCTACAAAATTTTTGAGCGTGGTTTCGAGAAAAAAAAACAAAAAAAGTTTTTTTGAATCACCCTAATAGGTATAAAAATTATTAGTAAAAGAAGTAAAAGGTACATTTTTTTAGTTTATCATTAGTTTGTAATTTTACATAATTCGTATAATTGATTATTACGCTTTTCTTACGATTTCTACGCAAAATTAATTAATAAAATGCGATGCGAAATATAAGAATAAAAACGTGTATTATACAAGCAACCTAAATAAAATATTTTAATTTAAATTTGAATATTTATTAGTATTATCATAGTTTTACTTAAATCATTTGTACTATTGGTTTAAATATTGGTAAACAAATTTTAATAATAAATACATTTTAAATAACAAAACAAGTCATATTAAAATACAACAAAAAACACATGCAGTGAGCATATAATTCTTCTTAATAGAATAATTTGTTTGACGTATTTAAAGAATTTATATATAATTCCCCCTGGTACATAGTCTAATATTTTATCTTGATATAATTCCATTTGAGTCATAATATGAGATATTAGAAGTTTATTGTCCCAAAAAAGACGATGAAAATTACATGGAAACAAAAAAAGAAAAATGTTTGTATTCAAAGTTTGAATTTAAAGCTATCTTGAATCAATATAAGTAACTTAATGATTAGTTAATATATAATAATATAATAATTAATAGTATTATTAGTATAGTTTATCTACTTTTTCATTTAATAAACTTGCAATACAATTGCATTTAATTGGAAAAAAATGGGGTTAAACCTGTAACAGATTTCAGATTGTTAAAAAGTTAGGTTAAAACCTTCGGTCATCTATGGTTAAAACTGCTTGATAGTTGTCAAAAATTACTTTAAATTCTGCGTTCATCATAGATAAAGTATTGTATGCAATTTGTTTTATAAACTTCTTAAAATTACTTATAAATAAACTGTTGTAATATAATTTATAAATAACGTTTATAAAACTAGTTGCTTAATACAGTATTCTACAATTTCCTGCTAGTTAAATTATTTGAAAATTTTTGGATCAATATTAAAGAAAGTTATTGAACTATTGATAAATTAATTAATTAATGCTTAAATAATATTACATAAAAATTTAGCTTGTACACTGCATAACAGTAATTTTTGGCATCAATTTTAAAATATATTCACGTGTATGCACGATAAACTTAACGTTAATAACCTTTATCAAAGGTCAATAATTAGTTTATTTCATAAAGAAAGCTTTAAAATTAAATTAAAGTGTAATTAACAAAAACTTAAAAAATAGTTAATAAACCACATTTACACTATAAAAGCCTTAATCAGAAGTTATAATTCTAAGAAAAGGAATGTCAAAGTGACAACTATTAATAATTTTTACATAACTGAGTAGGTACTTACAGCTTGCGCCCATTTGGGAAAGTACCAAATCGAACTGACCAATCTGTGGGTGTGTAAAACGCCGTCCACCACTTGTCTTTCCACCACATCAGTTCCAATAACTGCAGGATTGTGAGGGTTGGGATATTTTCTCCAAGCTGCAGTGGCCACTGTCTCCCAGGGATGGCTAAAAATTACACAATAATAGATTAGAAACCAATGTCAGCGGTTTTACAACGTTAGACTCACTTAAATGTGTGTTCACTAGTCCAGATTTTCATGTTTTGTTAAAATTTATTAAAACGATACAAAATTTACGTAAATTAATGTGGAAACTAGCGACGACCTTCCACCTTGACAGCTGAATGATGACAAAGAGCGAAAAAGACAGACGCACAAGCTAAAGGACTAAAGCGACGTTGTCAGATTTACTTTCTGCCCAAGCAGTACTACGTAGTTTAAAAAAAAAAAAGTAAATTTCTGAAACAACAGCAGAACAAGTATGTTTATCTATTAAAAAGTTAAGAATGTATTTTTTCTACTCCTATTACGGAATTTGACTCTTCTAATATCACTTTTATCTATGGAATGACATATATTCCGTAAAGTGTTACAGAATGAAATATTCTATCATCTGATGACAGAATAAACACTCGTGGCGACATCTCTGTTTTTAATATCTAACAAATTTTAGACCGATCCAACCTCACTTTCTTCCAATTAAATTATTTTTCTATGGTATTTTTTGAAAACGTAGAAAAAGTATAGTCTGAAACACGTTTGGAATTGCACATACCGCTCTCGTGAAACCGTCAAACTCGCCTTCGGCTCGTGTGACAAACTCTTCACTCGCGCGGAATATGCCGTATTCCAAACTTGTTACAGAATACCTATACCTACTATTTTAGTATTATAACCAAAATAAACAAACAGGAAAATTTCAAATAAGATAATGATTTTTAACAGTTTTTAATTTTATTATAAAGTCTGCAGAGTTGAAAAATCATACCTATAAAACACCTGGCGAAAACGAGAAACTGCTTTGAGCGAATAAATTTGATTTCAAAACAAAACTTCGCTAAATTTACTGCAAAATAGTTGACTTGACAACACTGGCTAAATGACAAAAACGAAAAATTACCAAAACCACTAACATCACGACAAAAAAATCCCCCAAATAATTTGCAGAAAACACAAAATATATTAAGAAATCATTTAAAAATCTTTTAGAGAAATACATATTTTATCATTTTTAAATAATTTTACATGGTAATTAATATGAAAACAATTTTTAAAACACATTTTTGCCATTTAATCTTTTTTCTGATCTGTTGGCGGTTCTGGCCGGTTGACATAAGATTACCGCGCATTCGCTCACGGTAGTTTGGTGATACTGGCGCCTTCTTGTTGAACGCGAGCCGCCGCATTTATGTTGATTCGTGCGTGTTACCAGTGAAATTCGTGAATTATGGCGAATATAAATCTCGACAAGGACGCATTCCACCGGCGATTGAAGCGTCTGTACACCGCGTGGCAGAAGGCCGAGGGAGAAAATGGGTTTTCTAAGATGGATGCTTTGATTACAGCGGTGGGAAAAGACGATGAAATTGTGTACAGCAAGTCCGGGGCCCTGCAAACGTGGCTTTTGGGGTACGAGTTAACAGACACTATAATGGTGCTGACGGAGAATAAGGCGTACTTTTTGGCCAGCAAGAAAAAGATAGACTTTTTAAAACAAGCTGAGAGCAAGGATGAAAACAACATACAGTTGTCTTTGCTAATAAGAGACAAGGACAGCGATGATGCTAACTTTAAAACTCTTGTGAACGCTATCAAAGACTCGAAAAGTGGCAAATCCATTGGTGTTCTCTCAAAAGACAATTACCCAGGCCCTTTCATGGAATCCTGGCGTAACCTCCTTAAAAAAGAAGAGTTTGTTAGCATCGATGTAAGCGCCCCTTTGGCGCTGCTAATGTCGCCGAAAGAGGACTCTGAAATAATAACAATTAAAAAAGCATGCCTGGTTTCAGTTGATGTATTCACAAAATACCTTAAAGATCAGATAATGGAGATTATCGACTCTGACAAAAAAGTAAAGCATAGCAAATTGGCTGAAGGAGTAGAGTCTGCAATACAAGACAAAAAGTATGTATCTGGGGTGGATGTTAACCAAATTGATATGTGCTACCCAGCTATTATACAATCGGGGGGTAATTATAGCCTGAAATTCAGTGTTGTCAGTGATAAAAATACTCTGCATTTTGGGGCTATCATATGTTCCCTTGGGGCAAGATACAAGTCCTATTGCTCAAATATTGTCAGAACTTTGTTGGTAAATCCTAGTGATGAGGTACAGGGGAATTATAATTTTCTTGTGCAACTTGAAGAAGAGGTTTTGAAAAAAATGCAGGCCGGTACAAAGATTTCTGAGGTTTATGAGGCTGGAGTTGATTATTTAAAAAAAGAGAAACCCCAGTTGCTTGATAATCTTACAAAGAATTTTGGTTTTGCTATGGGGATTGAGTTCAAAGAAAGTTCATTAATTTTAACAGGGAAAACTACTGCTGTTTTGAAAAAAGGCATGGTTTTCAATGTCAATTTAGGATTTAGCAACTTAAAAAACAAAGATTCTTCTGATAAACAATCAGCTACTTATGCATTGTTCCTTGGGGATACGGTTATAGTAAACGAAGGGCAACCAGCTACAGTTTTAACAGTCTCTAAGAAAAAAATCAAAAACATTGGTATATTTTTGAAAGATGACTCGGAAGAGGAAGAAAACGACGATGAAAAAGAAAACACCCCAAAACCCGAAATGCTGAGTGGAAGAGCAAAACGTACGGCCGTTTTGGAAAACAAACTTCGCACGGAGCACACCTCAGAGGAGAAACGTAAAGAACATCAAAAAGAACTCGCGCAACTGCTCAACGAAAAAGCTAAGGAACGTTTGGCCAAACAATCTGGCGCCAAGGATGTAGAAAAAGTTCGGAAAAACACGATCTCCTACAAAAACGTGAACCAAATGCCCCGAGTACCTGAAGTGAAGGAGCTGAAGTTGTATGTTGATCAGAAGTATGAGACTGTTATTTTGCCTATCTATGGGATTGCTGTTCCCTTCCATATTTCCACAATCAAGAATATTTCACAGTCCATTGAGGGGGATTATACTTATCTTAGAGTGAATTTCTTTCATCCTGGGTCTACCATGGGCAAAAATGATGGTAAGCATGATTTTGCTATGTCCACAAACAGAAAAGCAATTTTGGAAAATAAAGTGCATAGCACGTGACTGTTTTTATATTTACTAAATCTAATTTAGTGGTTAAATTTTAGTCTATAAACTGGACTGGAAACATAAAAATTTAGGCAAATAAAACTAATCTTAAAAAAAACATTTGAAAAAAAACATCTCTACGTATAGCTTCTCCTTTTCTTCTTGATTATTTATACAGTGTTGGCCATAATTTTTGCAACCTCTGTAAAAAAAATCTTACTCTAAAACGCCTTTATTATTCTTTATGAAATTTTGGATAAAAATAACTTTTAGGGTAATTATTTTAAGTAAATAAAAAATATGCTGTTAAACACCGTATTTTTTTTAGTATACACTGAAAATTTTGTACAAATCAAATGAACAGCAACGAAGATACAGAGATTCAAAGTCGTCAAAAATGACCACTTTTCAGCAAAATAATAAAAAGGGGCCATTTTTACCGACTTTGAAGCGCTCTCTCTTCATTACTGTTCGTTTAATTTGCACAAAATTTTCAGGGTACCTATACTAACAAAAATACGGTATTTAACAGCATATTATTTATTTGCTTAAAAACAATTACCCCAAAAGTTATTTTTCGAACGTTTTTTCATTATTAAATAAAAGGCTTTAAAAATATTTTTTCGAAAAACCCTCAAAAATGTAAACTGAGATATAAGTTGAAGTATTTTTATCCAAAATTTCATAAAGAATAATAATACAGTGGTTGCAAAAATTATGGCCAACACTGTATATATTCTCTAAGACTATTTTATTTTTTAAAATTATATGCCCATTTCCTATCACTATCTTCTTTTCAGTTCATTTTTATATCAATAATATAGACATGTAGTCCAAATTACATACTCATCATATGAAGGTGTAAAAAGCAAAAGGTTACAAGTGCATAAAAGAGAAGTGGAGCTATTAACTAAAGTTTTTGCTATATACAAAAATCTGGATACTTGTTTCAATGTTTGCATTAATCAACATGCAGAATTCATACAATTTTCACCTTATGAGAAAATAAAAAAAAATATTGAACTACCCAATTCTGCACTTAACTTATTTTTATGCTAAAATGCACAAGTGCCGTTTTGCTTCTTACCCTTTCATATTTAAATACAAACAAAATCGGAACTCGCTCAGCGAAAGTCAATTTTTTTATACAGGGGTCTATTCTGTAACTTTTTAGTTACAAATAAAATTATGTATACGTATACATCTTCGCCAAAATAATATAAACCAGGGTTATTTATAAGATGTTAAAAAACGGTTTTTTTCAATGTGAAAAAAAACATGAAAAAAAAACTAGAAAAAAAAACGGTTTTTTTTGTTTTTTTTTTTCAAAATCAAATTTTGAGTAAAATGTAGAATAGGTATTACATTTTTCATTATTGAAAGTTTTGACCAAGACTAAAAAATCTGATTTCTTATTATTTGGTAGTTTCCACATTAAAATCCAATAGCAATGTAAAACTTCTACACTAATACAAAAAATTAAAGGATAAACATTTTTTTTGCGATTTTTCGGATAGCCGTATATTTGTTAAAAATGGTCGTATTTGAGCCGTAAAAAAAGCAATTTGAAGCTTGAAGTTTATAGTTTTGAGATTTTTAGATGAAAAACGTGCAACGCTCAATGCTAACGAATACCGTAATAAAAAAATCGATTTTTTTTAATTTCTTTTTTGGTCCACGAAATGTTCTGACCACCAATTAATAAATGTTCAATTTGCTATTTTTTTTTTGAAAAAAAACATTTCTGTACTCTACATAAATTTAAAAAATTATGAAAAAAGTGCTTTTGGTAGCGTTTTGAAAAATCAAGCGCTGAATCAAAAATATTATATGTAGTTACTTTCTTTAGGATCAAATCAAAACAAGCGCGGCCCTTATTGGTCAAATTGGTGGTTGTGGCGAGTGCATAACGCGAGACTGTATTTACATTTAATAAATTTCATTTAGTGGCTAATTTTAGTCCATGGAAACATAAAAAATTAGGCAAATGGGACTAATCTTGAAAAAAAACCTAAAATGTGAAAAAAACCATTTGTAAAAAAACAATGAAAAAAACCTAAAAAATAACAAAAAAACGGACCGTTTTTTTTCAAGTCGCATCTCTATTTATAACCAAAAAGTTTTTGCCTATAATTTTCTGCTCTTTTTAATGGTAAACAGGATTAAGTCCTGGCTTACTTGGTGTTTATTTTTCCCACTGTTTCATCAGCAACCTGTCACTTCAGCGGACAATACCGATTTAAGAGTGTTAAAATGCACTTTTCACGCATTTTCTTTTTCAGGCAACTACCAGCAACCGGAAGCGACGTTCGTGAAGGAAGTGACCTACCGCAGCATAAACACGAAAGAACCCGGCGAAATATCCCCGCCCTCTTCGAACCTGAACACCGCGTTCCGCCTCATCAAGGAGGTGCAGCGCAAATTCAAAACCCGCGAGGCCGAGGAGAAAGAGAAGGAGGACCTCGTCAAACAGGACACGTTGGTTCTGTCGCAGAACAAGGGTAACCCGAAGTTGAAGGATCTCTACATCAGGCCCAACATCGTCAGCAAAAGAATGACGGGCAGTCTCGAGGCCCACAACAACGGCTTCAGGTCAGTGTTGGCAAAAATTTAGTTTGATTGACGATTTAAAACTAAAACTAACGAAATTAGTTTAACTAACGATTGACGATTGAATTAGTTTTAGTCATGTAAAAGATTGAAATAATCGATTGAATTAGTTTTAGTTTTCAATCTTGATTAAAATTTTGATTGAAATAGTAATGTCGTGGAAAACGCAAAGTAAACGATTAATTAAATTATACAAATGGTTTATACATTTATACATGTGTGCAAAAAAAAGTCCTATACAGAGTGTTTCAGAATATGTGGGCAATCTCCTGTATATAGATATAACACATAAAAATAATATGACAAGTTCCTATACATTTTTCCTACGGCCCCCCTACGGAGATACCGGCCCATAACGGACGCCCCTTCAAAACACTTTATTTTCAACTGACACTGACATCATTCAAAATTTTAAATCGGTAAATGTAAAAAACATTACAAAAAAAATAAATGTAAAAAACCCTATTGTACAAAAACATTTTTTTTCGTATGTACTTTACATTTTATCGTTGTCGATCAGGATTACCTTTTTTTACTTTAAGGTTTAAGCTGACTAAAAATATTATTGTTGTGCCTTTATAGTACAGGGTGTTAAAAAAAATAGTATTGCTCTGTTATAGCTAGTCCGTCCCTGGCAAACTAAATAAGCCAAATGTAATTAAAAGTGTCCATTTTAAGGAAACTATATATATATATATTTAAAAATTATTCAATTCCACAAAAAAAAACGATTTCCAGGGGTGTCTGTATGGGACCGTATCTCCGTAGAGGGGAGCGTAGGAAAAAAATATGAGATTATATTATTTTTATGTGTTCTATTTGAATCCGGAAGATTGCCCACATATTCTGGGACACTCTGTATGTTTATATAAATAATCTTTTATTTACTTATGCTATTTTTTTTATTTATTAACATATAATTAAACAGATCATTTTTTCTTGGTTAGGTACGTCAATGTTTCCGATTAATTATAATTATAATTTATATATAATTATATTTAAATTATTTTTCTCAAAAATCTCATCGGATAGTTTGTGTGATTTTGTTGCATGGGAAAACATTCGTTCTATGACGGCATAGGCGTATTGTATTTTACAAAGACAGTTTTCTTAATTTTTTATAACCTCGCTTACAAATACGGAATATACCTTTTTAATTAAAAATTTCAATCAAACTAAAACAAATAACTAATGATTATTTGATTTTAGTTGCGACTAAAACTAAATTTTTAATCGTGATTGATTTAGTCATAACTAAAATAATCACCAATTTTTTAGTTTGATTCGTCAATCGAAGCTTCTAAATGAAGTACAATTTAAAAGGAGGTGCAAATCAATGTTATTGCTTAGCCATTTGTGATTGATGCGTTTTGTTGTGTTTGTTATTTTTTTACTATATTACAGTGGCGGCTCGTGACCTAAAAAATCTGGGGTTGCACCCATATGTATAGGTGTAGATATTAAGAGATGTGCAAAGCCAAGATCGCTTTAAAAAATAAATTGGATCATAAAAATTTAAATTATAAAAATATAAAATTTAAATTTAAAATATTAATTACTATTAGAGTTTTAAGTTAATATATTGTTTATTATATATGTATATCTAAATTAAATTTTTTAGTAAAAGACCGGCTTTTACTGGACACACATTGAACGATGTTTAAATTTGGAGTAGGTCTTCCAAGCCTCTTTATATCGATCGACCGACTACCGAACGGATTTTCTAATAAACTTTCAACTGAATTAATCATTATTATTATAAGAAATACATACAAACAATAATAAAAACGCAGCGGAAATGTTAACGCGGCCCGGCAAAAATACGTAACACGATTCACACTAAATGTTGCATTTGTCCTGCAACCACTTTCGATCTAATTAAACCAATGATATTGAACGTAATTTAATCACGTGGTCCCAACACGCCCATTCGAAAGCCTGTAATGGTTTGCGACCTTAAAACAAACCCGTTAGCCTCAACAATTATACACTAGATGGCGTGGTATTCGGGCATCGATCAATGAACCGATACGAAGCGCCAAGCGGGAAATTTAATTATTTGCTTGGAAACTATAGTGTTATAACAAGAAAGTTACTAAGAAAATAAAAAAAATATATATCGATGATATTATTATAATCATAATTTATTTCTTTCTTCTTGGGTGATTTTTTTGGGGGTTGTGCAAACCTGCAAACCTTAGGTAGAGCCGCCACTGCTATATTAGTATATCTAGGAAATATAGGGTCATGTAAAGTGGTGTAGAATAGGTTAGGTTAGTGGTCTAGGTTAAGTTAGGTTAGGTTAGGTAAGGTTGGGTTAGGATGAATTAGGTTTAGTTTAAATGGTTGAAGCTTTGATCAGCAATCCATAAAATGGGTATGTTGCTCTTCAATCATTATTTGCAAATGTTTGAATCTATCTCTTTAAGTTAGCTAATTTTATTTTTAATATATTTTTTTTTTATTTTTTTTTTACTGTACTAGATAAAAATGTAATTGCGGCATCTATCTTTGTTGTAAAGTATGAGTATGAGTATAAGAGACGTCTAACCAGCCCCATTTCCTCTTGACTCTTAAACCCCGTACAGGCCTATGTTTACTTACGCCGATTTTTGTTCTTCCCCAGCAACTGCACGGCTTCACCCGTGTTTGCTGGGTGCGAATGTCCATTGCGTTCCGTACTGTCCCCTATTTGGGGCTCGAGAGCGAGAGGCGAATAGTTATAATAGCCGTTCCCGGGTTCGCCGGGCCTATGCTATACGCTCAGTGAGGTATGGATGAGGGACGGGAGGGAGTTGGTTTTTGGGGGACAATTACGCCGACTTAAAACTAAGTACGACGCGGAATCCCCCTAGACCAGTCGGTTAGTATTACTCCAAACATTTGGGATTACTATTTGGAGTTGGGGAGTTGTTATTACGCTGCAGGGGTGTAGTTTCCTAGTCGAGGTCTTCGTCTTGTTCATTATTGTCATTATCCGTGTCGGATAGTTCCTGAACTTGGTAAAGTGTGTCGGTTGTTTTTTTTTTTTTTATTTTATTTTTATTGTTGTTTAGTTGCTCCCAACTGGTCTTGTTACTTTGTGAGAAGTGCATGTATTGTGCTACGTGTCATGAAATGTGAAGCATGGTCTACCGATTTTTTTGTCTTTAAGATCTAGTTTAAGGGTGGCTTGTAGTATGTTGTTGCGTTGTCTACGAGTGACGTGGGCCCAGTGTTTAATTGGGCTACTCTTACCCTTTTGGTAATGGTTTTTCCCATTGGTACGATAATCGGCACACATGATAAACTCCCCCGCAAAGAAATACAACCCCCCGCGGCCCCCCCGGAAGACAATCCTCACAACGGCAATCGTACTACGACTACCGCCATGTAGACCATCCCCCGTATAGGCCACGGGAGGCTGCACCCCCCCGCGGAGGAGCCCATCACTCGTGCCGAGCGTAAGGCCGCAATCGCTGCGATAAGGCAGTTCCCAGTGGGGGGTATTTTTTTACTTTTACAAATTTTATAATTTTCTAAAAATTCGATTCTTTCTCTTTTACTTTTTTTATGATTAAATTATAATAATTATTGTTACATAATTATTACAATTATTGTAACTTAATTTCCGAAAATTCGATAATTTTATTTACCCAATTCGATAATTCAACTTTTACATCTGGCAATACTGCTATTCACACACAACTTGTTTATGTTATTTTTTGTCTTCTTGCATGTTTAGTTTATTATTTATTTATCTTACGCCTTTTTCAATGGTTGTTTATGATTTGTCTGCTATGAGAAAATGAGGTTGTTTGTTTAAACTTAAGGAAATGTTCTTATTCTTTTTTAATTTAGTTTTTGAGACAATAAAAGAATTCTTAGTATTTTCTTTTTGCAACATTGTGAAATGCTTACATAAACTTTGTGAAATGCTTTTATAAACATTTAGCGAATATACGGTAAGACATGCAATTGGAAAAAATAACTTATCTTGACCATTTGGTGCTGGAATTGAACCATTTCGCATGCCGCTCGCACGTTTGGTAGTCCAGTAAATTTCGTGGAAGTGATCTCACACCTTTTAACCAGGTCCAACACTTGAGGATTTAATCAATGGGGGAGGTACCACACACAATTTGCACTCTTTTGCACTTGGGACAGTTATCACGTTTAGAATCGATTGTTTTTTATTATTTTACGGCGTTAACCAGTTATCACGTTACTACATTTGTATCGTATACGCTGCTTAAGAGAGATCGGTGAGCATATGCTTACACTTCAAGCGTCAAGAGCAGACTGATCTTTGTTGTAAACAGTTGCAAATAAAATTATTATTATTATTATTATTGAAAATATTAGTGACTAATCCCAACTCTGCTTCAGGTACACCTCCGTCAGAGGCGATAAGGTCGACATCCTCTACAACAACATCAAGAACGCCTTCTTCCAACCGTGCGACGGCGAGATGATCATACTGCTGCATTTCCACCTGAAGCACGCGATAATGTTCGGCAAAAAGAAGCACGTGGACGTGCAGTTTTACACCGAGGTCGGCGAGATCACGACGGACCTGGGCAAACACCAGCACATGCACGACAGGGACGACCTGGCCGCGGAGCAATCCGAGAGGGAGTTGAGGCACAAACTCAAAACCGCCTTCAAGTCGTTCTGCGAGAAGGTCGAGTCGATGACGAAGCAGGAAATCGAGTTCGACACGCCGTTCAGGGAGCTGGGATTCCCCGGCGCCCCCTTCCGCTCGACGGTGCTGCTGCAGCCGACTTCCGGTTGCCTGGTCAATTTGACGGAGTGGCCGCCGTTCGTGATCACTTTGGAGGATGTGGAGCTGCTCCATTTCGAAAGGGTGCAGTTCCACTTGAAGAACTTCGATATGGTTTTCGTTTTCAAGGATTACGCGAGGAAGACGGCCATGGTGAACGCGATTCCGATGAACATGCTGGATCACGTCAAGGAGTGGCTGAACTCCTGCGATATCAGATATTCCGAGGGTGAGAAATTTTTTATTTTAACGAGCGAAGCAAAAAAGTAGAAATTGTGTTTTTGCTTCTTTCATTGGACGTGGATGATTAAATCGGTGCAGTGTTGTCAGATTGTATTTAAAATGAGGATGTTTTAGGATTTAGGAAATTAACGCATAACAAGTAAAAAAATACAACTTTAAAACTCCTTTACCAATCTATACAATTTTGGATAAAAATACTTTAACTTATAACTCAATTTATGTGTTCAAGGATTTTTCGAAGCCTTTTTATTTAATAATAAAAAACCCTTGAAAAAAAACTTTTATAGGGAATTTTTTTTAGTTACCCAGAAAATGTACAAATCAAACGAACAGTACAAATCAAACGAACAGTAACGAAAATCGCTTCAAAGTCGTAAAAAATGACCACTTTTCAGCAAAATAATCAAAAAGGGGTAATTTTTACCGACTTTGAAGTGCTGTATATTCGTTGCTGTTCGTTTGATTTTCAAATTTTCAGGGTATTCTACCAAAAATACATTCTTTAACAGCATATTTTTTTTTATTTATTTTTTTATTGTTAAAAACCCTCGAACACGTAAACTGAGATATAAGTTGAAGTATTTTTATACAAAATTTCATAAAGATTGGTAAAGGAGTTTTAGAGTTAGATTTTTTTTACTTATTATAATAAGTATAAGTATAATAAGCATAAATGCGTTAATTTGGACGTCTACATTTTTAAACTATTTTGTATGATTTTTAACAATTCTTCGTTTTTTCCAATTTTTTATAAAACCGAATCGTTTTTGAGGTTTTTTGGGCGATTTTAGATTCTCTTATGAATTTTTAAGATTTCTTATAATTATTTACTATGTATAAGTACCTACTTTTTTATTTTAAGAGCTGCTAGATGAATTATATCAGAGAAAAGATGCGTAAATACAAGTTTATTAAAATGGCAGCTAACATTTTTAAAAAATCAGCAATTTTCAAATAATTTAAAAAGACCTATAAACCTTAAAAACAAAAATTTCCAAGTTCCCAGTTCAACGATTTTTGATTTTCAGTTTTTTTTCTTATTTTAAATGCCATTCTAAAAGGCTTGTAATTATGCAATTTAACCGACCTTGTAATCTTCAGATAAAAAAATACCCATAGAAGTATGCACATACAAGGATACTTGATATACCCTGTATATTCAGTTAAATTTTTGATATGTTTTTGTACGTATTAAAAGAAGCCTAAAGAAGCTTAATTAGAAAATTTTCAAAAAACTCGAAGATATTTAAATCCCACTTTCATTATGGGCCTAAAAAATTTGTTTTACAGTCTAGTATAACATATTTTTTTCAAAAAATCAAAAATGTCGCTCTTCAAAAAAAGTCAAAATTTAAGTTAAAAGTTAAGAAAGAACAGTGAAAAAAAATTTTGGTTTTTATATATTTTTTTTTCAAAAACTACATTTTAAAACGAAGAAAATAGCCACCGGTCAAATGAGCTTACGATAATTTAAGCAGGAGTTATGAACTTCTGAAAATTACCGTGTCGTTATTTTTGTGCGACTGTCAAAAATTCATATCTTTGGGGCTTTTTGAAAATAAAGGGCTCAAAATTTAGGGTTAGGCGTCTTTTGATACGTAAAAAAACATCAAAAATTTAATTGAATCAAAAAATCCAATTTTTAAAATTTGGTGATTTGATATGGAATGACCCATATATTCACAGTGTTAGATGCGTTCAAAAATTGAAAAATGTGTGCCATGGAGAAGTGTTTTCCATAGGTATTCAATAACAAATTTATCTTTGTATCTTAACAACCATAGTTACTAAAAATTTGTAACTAAAGTCTATTCAAATCCAAGCTGGACTAAATATAAACACAATCCTCCGAATCGACCAATAAGAACTCACAATCCGAGTCACACCATCAGAATCGACCAATAAGAACGAGTTATCATGCGTCTGGGCGTTTTTATTTAGTCCAGCTTGGATTTGAATACACTTTAGTTACAGTTATAGTTACTAGTTTACGATAAATAACTACATAGTTCTCAGATACATATAAAGTATCTAGATAATGTAACTAGTTACTTGTAGATACGTTACAACACTGCCAGTTACATACAAAAAACAAGCAAAAACTGAAACAATATTGGGTGTAAAATTTTTGTCCCTAGTAAAATTTCTTATTTCTTGCAGGCATCCAATCATTGAACTGGGTAAAAATCATGAAAACCATCACCGACGACCCCGAAGGCTTCTTCGAGAGCGGCGGCTGGACTTTCCTGGACCCGGAATCGGACGTCGAGGAGGCGGCGCAGGACGAAGAGTCCGAGGACGACGAAGCCTTCGACCCCTCCGACTTGGAGTCCGTCTCCGAGGAGAGCGACGAGGACTCGGAGTACTCCGAAGGCGACACGGAGGACGACGACGACGGGAGCGAGGATCTGGGATCGGACGAGGAGTCCGGCAAGGACTGGTCCGACTTGGAGCGCGAAGCCGAAGAGGAGGACCTGAACAAGGATCGCGGCAAGTTCGACGAGGACGACTTCAAGAGGAACCGAAACCCGGCGAAATCCTCCTCCAAAGTTTCCTCGTCGAAGCGCAAAGGCAGCAGCCATTCCCCCAAGAAGCACTCCTCCAGTTCCAAACACAACTCCAGCAGGGACAAGGACAAGCGCAGGGAAAGAGACAGGCACAACTCGTCGAATTCCAGCGGAAAACACAAATCCTCCTCTCACTCTAAATCTTCGAGCTCGCACAAGTCGCCCTCCAAAGATCACGGCAAATCTTCCTCCTCGCGTCATAATTCTTCTTCGGACAAAAAACGCAGTCGAGACGACAGCGGCAGCAGCGACCGTCACAAGTCCAAGAAGTCCAGGAAGTAATTTCACAACCGTTTTTTAATTATTAGGTTAGTTGTTTTAAGTTTACTTTTAGTTTATTTAAATACCCCCACAGTTATTCCTTACCGATTTTTTTTATTCATAAATGTACAGTACTTGTAAGCCTTTGATATAAATATAATTTTTAATCCACCACCTAAACTATTTTTGTATTGCTGTACAATGTTGTTAACCAATAAATCGCAATCTCTTAACAAGTCTTTTATTTCCCACAAAGTAGTTCAAATGAACCTTGATATATTCAGGAGTTATTTACTTTTAAAGCCGCTATTGAGAGCGCATACTGCTCAAACAGACGAAACCCGTGTTTGTTGGAATGTAGGTAGGCAACCAATACTAAATCTTTTATTGGCGGCTTTAAAACTTAAATAACTCCTGCAAGTTTTAGTATTTTAAATAATGAAGTAACAAGAGTAGTTCCAGTAAACCCGCGTTGCCAGACTATGTACCAATACTACGTTGCCAAACTGCTTAAAATATTAAAGTTCCAAACAAGCTTGTGTGTATTGTTTGTTAGTATTATTGCTTTTTAATAATAACAGTTTTTTCATTTATGAAATCTTTAAAAATATATCTTCAAAAAATAAAAAATATAAACAATTTTTCCATGAGTTTTGACAAAAAGTGCAAATGTTTAGGATTTACACCAACTTTTTTAAGACTATTTCCAAGTGATTTTGTATGAATTTTAACCACTTTTATTCGTTTTTGCAATTTTTTTCAAAACTTTCGGGCTGTATTTATATTATCTGATTTTTGTATAAAATTATTTTTTTTTTAATATTAATCTTTAACTACAAAACCAAGTCCTGTTTTTTTTTGTCTATAACCCAAATCTGCACCGGTTGACGTATTGTCACCAAATTTTGTACACTTATTCTCCGGGGTACCAACCGTGTCATAGACGCAATGGGATTGGGATATGCATTTTTTATGGCAAATTTGAAATGTACGCATACGAGTTTGTAAACAATTGTTAGATATTTTTCCTACAATTTTTGAGAACGCTTCACAGCCATTTCACGCTACTCGGGAATTTTTGTAGCGTCCGTTACAATCAAAAATTGTGATTAAAAGCTCTACAGACAGACAAAAATTCCCGAGTAGCGTGGAATGGCTGTTCAGCGTTTTTTAAAAAGCAAGATTCAATTTTAAAACGCTTCGACGAACTTGAAAAGAGCGCATGACGTCACGATGTTATAACAGATGTGTAAAGAATTACGAATGAATCCAACATATTATGTTTCATAACCGTGGTTTCTATATTTATGCTCAATATTCTTTTAAGTATTTAAATCGCATGTAAATTTTAAAAATAATATTATAAACTTTATACTAAATTCGCTGTTAATGGTTTTATTAAAAGTTTATAAAATTATTTTTAAAATTTGCACTTTATATACATAAGTTTTTTAACAACTATAAAAAAATTTGGTTATCGAATTCGTAAATCTTGTCACAGTGGTTTAAAATTAAAAAATGGTGGTAAAAATTTGCAAATCATATTTTAAGAAAATTGTAGGGCAATTTCGCACGTTCGCTCAAAATTAAAACATAATGGGAAAAATTCTCAAGGCAGCATACCTACATTTAAAAAAAATGACAGTACAAATTTTTCACCCGTATTCTACGTGATTCCGGACGTGTCTTTTCTTTACCACAGCTAGTTTATTTATAACAAAAACAACAATATAAATTTAAGTACCTAAAAACAAATAATTTTTTTGTTGTGTAAATTTCTCCATTAAATTTAGATTTTAATTGTATTAATAGTTATAAATCTTATTGGTCATTAACAGGTAGTTTAAATCCTTTAATGGATTTTGAAAACAATTATATTTCGCTTATTAGTTATTAAAAATAATTAATTAATAGTAATATTAGATTAAAATAAAATAAACAAAAATATGCCATGTTTGCTAATATTTAAAAATGCTTAACTGCATACATAAAAAATAAACTACTTTAACTTAAAATGAAAAATATAAATTTCAATAGAGGTCCTTTATACTTTGGCCAAAGATCAGTATTTTTAAGGTTTTCGTATAAATTGGAGACAAATGGTATTAATAAATAAGACAAAATTTAGTTATTTATGAAAAATGTATTTGATACAGTTACCTAACAATATAAAATGTTGTATATGAAAATGCATTAAATTAAATAATATTACTTTTAAAGGAATGATAAATTATTATACTTAATCTAGGATCTGGTGTACTTTCCCCATATGTGCAACATAAACACGGAAGCAATGAACAAGAGAGACATTACAAGAACTGGAACTGGTCCCCTGCAAAAGTAGAAAACACATTGTAATAATGCCACCATATGTTATGTTTTACTATAGTGTAACTTTAATAAAATAGTGCTAAATCATGGCAAAAAAATTGTTTACATATGGTATATACTCACACTTTGATGCCTGGGGAATCATCAGTGTAGAATCTCCACATACCACTGGCAGCTCCAGGATTTCTTTTAGAGAACGTTGAAGTGGTTGTTGTGGACTTCCTCTGTCTTACAGTGCCTCCAGTGGAAGATCTGGGAGCTACGGCCTTCGAGGGCGACCTGCTGTTGGCACCCACGGAAGTAGAACTTGCTGGTGCAGGCTAAAATTTAATTATCGAGATTTTTTAAATCACTTTAGACTCGATTTAAGAGTATTACTTACCATTTTAGAAGGGTTTTGTTTGCACTACGTGTTCAGTCGAGTACAGTTAGTTGTGGTAATGAATTTGCCGCACGGCTTCGAGAAATGAAACGATATAAACGAGTGCGCTGGCAGTTTTGAGATGACACGTCTGCATACGTCACCTGGACACGCAGTCGTACCAACAGCGCAGCAGCGTTGCCAACCATATGTATATATTTGTACTAAATTTATGATTACGTTTCTCGTGTCCTTTTTAAAAGCAAAACACAAGGAAAACATTGGTAAACGACAGGGGGAGAAGCAAACACGCGCCAAAGAAGAAGGGGAGCTGGAAAAATTACAAAAAATACTCTTTAAAGTAAAAATACTTTAAAGGTAGGCAATTAATTTACAAACTTGTTTTATAAGAGTTGCCTATATTTAAAATTTTATATTTAGCGCCATCTATTTAGTGATGCTTTAAAAAATATATAGGTTTGGAAACTCGTTGCCTACTGTAGCTGACAAAATGTAGGCAGCCTACATTTTGTCAGCTATTCAAGTAGGGCCCAACTAAAATTATAGGCTCAAATTACTTTAGTTTGTTGTCCACTATCCGAGTCAATATTTCTTAAAATTCCCTAAATTGTGTAATCAAAATTTGCTACAGTTGGCATAACTGCAGCAGCGAAGAAAGTTACTGATAATCAGCGTTGCGCGGTTGGTAGTGGGTATGTCGTTTGTTTTGTTTATGGTGCGCATAGAGGTGACAGGTGACATTTTGACATATGATACGTATGATTGACATTATTTGTGAATTTCTAAATAATGTATTATTTGGCGAAATTTTGCCGGATATGCATCCAGAGCCACGTGACTCTGATCGACATCGATACGGTTGATTTCGACGAGGTGAAGTTGAGCGAGAAGTTGGAAGTTTGTGCCAAAATGGTAAAGTGGTTAAAGTTGAAATTTAAAAGTTTGCGTGACCTATTGATTTTTTGTTTGCAGGTTGTGGGAAGAGAAAGTCTGTCGACGGAAATATGTGTTCAGTGCGTTATAAAGTTAAGGATATCCTATCAGTTTTACACAATGTGCAAGAAATCCTCAAAAATGCTGCAGGGGTACTTGGAGGAGTTGATTGGTCCAGGGAAAGTGGATCCTGACAATTTTGTCAACAACGATCTGTCAGTGTGCATTACACCTGTACCACACACTGAAACTGACAGTCCTTGCAAGAGGAAAAGGATTAGCAAAGGACAAAGATGCTCACTACTAAAAAAATTACTAACCCAAAACCCAAACCATGAACCTTGCGATGAGGGTGGGGGGTTGCGAAACATAATAAACTTCACGAGAAATTACGAATTTAATTACAGTGATAAAAGCAAAGAGAACCCTCTAGACAAATTAACTGAATTCTCAAAGGATTTTTTCAGAAACGACTTCTCACAATTCAGGGACACCATCCTTTACATTATTGAAAATAAGGATAATACAGACAGTGAGGAGGACTTATTTGATTTCTCTGAAGAAGATGAGGATGAAAATGATAATAAAATAGTTAAATTTGAGGAGATGATCATAGAACCTGACATCCAAATAAAAAATGAATGTCTCTATGAAGAAGAAGACTGCACAATAGAAATCAAAGAGGAGGAGGAGGAGGAGGAGGAGGATATCTCCCAAAATGCAATGCAACTTCTTGACCGTTTAGTGGAGAATTACCCCCATGGTCACAGAAAAACATTCTCATCCAGTAGTGTTCGATGTCGGACACGGAACAATCCATACATAAGCCCCATGTTGAAGCAACAGTTTCTTTTCAGGAATTTTAAGTGTAATAGATGTGATAGATATTTCAAAAGTCCAGGTTACCTGAAAGCTCATAAGACTAAGGTTCATTTGCATGATTTGCATGATTAAATGCAAATCAAATTTACTTTTGATGTAGGTAGTCAGAGAAAATAGTAATGCACTTTTTAATTTTATCATTTAAATATTTTTTTTTAAATAAGTAGGAACAGTAGTTTCAAAAATATTTTTTTAAATACTATCTTAGTCTAATAGACTCTATCTACTATTTTATTGATTGTCATCCTCTTTGGAAAGGTAAAATCATTCAAATATATAGTATCTTATCTATGCTATCTTCTTTTATATTTGAAAAAAGCTCCTCTCAATGTTTCAAAAATAGATAGCATAGACAAAATGTATGTTTTATCCTGATGATTTTACCCCAAACACAGGAAATCATAAATAAAATATAATAATATTATATAAAAGTAATATATATTATATAAAAGTAATTTATTTTTTTCAAAATTTATCAGAAAACAGTAACTTCAAAAGTTTAAAATTTAAACTAATTAAATTAAAGCTAATTTATTGATGGTCTTCCTGTTTGGAAAGGTAAAGTCCTTCCAATAGACTATACATTTTTTCTATGCCATATGGCATATTAGATATCTAATTTTTATATTTGAAAAAGCTGCTCCTAATTTTTACTTTTTTGAAATTTTTGTCTCATTTTAAAATTTTGGATCTTTTTAGACATTTATTGACCTTTTAAATATATCCAAATTTTATTAGTAATAGTGCATTAGTATTTTCTTTGACTACCTATTTAATTGTATGATGTAATTTACTACTGTAATTTAAATGGTGGACTCAAGTTAATATACTCTAAATTTAATTTAATTTATAGTTTGTTTTCCAAACAAGTTTAGATAGAACAAATAATGTGTAATGTTTAAATAAATTAATTATTATTAGGCTTATGTCCATCATTGTGAATCCGAATTTATTAAGTGTAAAGCTGTCTATGTATTTAGGATAGTATTTATTGTGCTACATAATTAAATTGTTATACTTTATTATGTAAAATATTTTTGATATTGTCAATTATTTTGAAATACATTTTTTTTTGTTATTTTCTATTTGTTAATATTTCTTAAATAATTTATAGGAGTAATTTTTGCATTTGCTATAAAATGTATTAATTCAATAAACTGAGGTTTAAAACGAAACGAGTTTCATTTCGGAACATATAGGTAACATGTTTCGGAAGAATTTACCTAAAAAAGAATAAAAAAACATCAATCCTACCCCCGGGATTCAGTGTTGCCAATATAGGAAATTTTTCCCTGTTCTAGGGTTTTTTTGCAACTTTCGGGAATTTTTATTACACATTTTAAGATTTTATTTTAATCGTTTTATACTTTTATACCAAATATGTATTGTTTACTTTATAGTTTTGTAATTTAAATAAACTAGTTAGTTCTAGAAATTTAAAGGTTTTTATTGGCAACACTGCCTGGTATATTAAATTTTAAAAAGCATTCTCATCCGATCAAAAATCAATTTCCCACACAAAGGAATTTCGATTCGACGGCATGCTCGGGTAACTTCGGCTGTCAGAATTCCACCGATCGCTACCGAAGAAACAAAAATATAAATAGGGTAGTTTTTTCCGAAAAATTTCGTTTTTACGTGGAAAAAATCCAGGATGGAGATCGCAAATGCCGTGGGGACGACGCCGGGCGTCGCCCGGTGTCCCAGGGTGGTGATGGAAGGAGTTGGCGCCCGAGTTATAAGGGGGCCAGACTGGAAATGGGGAAAACAGGTTAGAATCTCACCTTTTGAGGTGTTAGGGTGTTAGGCAGTAAGACCGCATATTTAACTATTTTAGGACGGTGGCGAAGGGCATGTAGGGACAGTTAGGAACTTTGAGTCCCCTGACGAAGTGGTAGTTGTCTGGGACAATGGGACAGCAGCTAACTACAGATGTAGCGGGCAATTTGACTTGAGAATCTTGGACAGTGCCCCCACGGGTGTTAAACATGAGGGGACGATGTGCGATACATGCAGACAACAGCCCATATTTGGGATACGTTGGAAATGTGCTGAATGTGGGAATTACGATTTGTGTTCTATATGTTATCATGGAGATAAGCATCAGTTGAGGCACAGGTTCTACCGTATTACTACCCCAGGTAATAAATAATATGAAAAAATAAAACTTTATTTTAAAAAATTATAAACAATACCAATGCTTTACAAAAAAAGCCTCTCAGCATTTTTGGTTAAATTCACTCCATCAAAAGTTATTCAAGGTTAAATTTGACAAGAATTTCGTTTTGACTTCATAATAACTTTTGATTTAATGAATTTAGCCAAAAATGTTAAGAGGCTTTTTTTGTAAAGCATTTGATTTTACATAAGAATATTTATTGGTTTTTTATGGGTACTGATTTTTACATGAATTTTAAAATTCCAAAGTTAAAAGATCAAAATGTAAAACTATACCAATGTTTAGGGCATGATTTTAAGGAAACGGTTCATCTGATGAAAAATTTCGTTAAACCTTTTTTGTAGAGCATTTAATTTTCTTAAAAAAATATTTTTAAGTAAATTTTGTTAAACTCAATGGTTTGGGAGTTCTGAGACAAAAACTTGATGAGGGAAAAAAAAATTAAAATTATTAAAATGATAGACCTCTTAATATTAATATTATGGACTCAAACTTTCACAATAATTTTTTTTGTCGCCCCAAACCATATTTTCGATATGGTTTTCAAAAAAAAAATATTTGATTTTTTTGGCCCAGTCTAGTGTCCATGGATGGAATTATACCTACTTATAAAAATATTTATTTTAAATTTTTTGAAGAAAAGTCACTCCTCATATTTTTTTCTTCTTGTTATATAAATACCATTCATAATGAGAAACTTTTTTTGTTATACAGGATGCCCAAAAAATACAATTGTAGATTTTGCAAAATTAAAAATTATTAAATATATTTTTTTTAAGGTCTAATATGAAGAGCTTGTAAGGAGAAAGCAAAAAGCCAAATAAAGTTTTTTCATGTGAGTTGTTGTTACTAAGATATTTGTTGTTAAAAACAAAATCTATCTTATTTTGGGATTATGAATCAAGGTTGTTGCTTTCAACTTACATGTCTACAATGTCTACAATTATTTGTTAAAATTTGAAAACTAATATCTTAAATTTTCAATATCAAATATCTTAGTATCAAAAACTCATATGAAAAAACTTCATTTGACTTTTTCATTTCTCCTTACCAGCTCTTTATATTAGCGCTTCAAAAAAAAATATTCAAAAATTTTTAATTTTGAAAATCCGTATTTTTGCTCACTCTGTACAACAAAATGGATGTTTCTCAACGCGAATCGTATTTATATAACAAGCAAAAGTAATTATGAAAAATGACTTATCCTCGAAAAATTAAAAATAAATATTTTTACAAGTATAGTTAAGTTTTTCCATGGACACACTGTATAGTAAATTACTTAAAAAAATTTTGTATAAAAACAGTTTTGTGATTTGTCCCGTTTGTATGCTTGAAATGGCTGTTTATCTTTGTTGGTCAATATTTTTGCTACACAAAAATAGTAGATATTTAACTGATAATTACAAAAAACTGTATTTTTTTTAAACCATATCTTTTGTTCTCTATATGGTTACCAGATATCAGGAAACCAAAATCGGGATATTAAATACAGGGGATGTTTGGTACATATTAAATATTATTAGTACATATCGATGGTTATTTGACAAAACATCGTAAGCGACAATTTTGTTGAATTACTTTTTATTTTATCAAAGTGTCAGTTACGATAAGCTGCACATGTTAACATAATATTTATCCCAATTTTGGAATCTAATATAGGTCAGTTTGAATATTTTTATTATTGTAAGCGCCTCTTCTTTTTAATTTCTTACCGATTTATAACGTAAGCGCCTATATATTCGAGATAAATTATCGTAAGCAACTCCGAGACATGGCGTTTGCGATTTAACATTGTGTCGCTTACGATAATATTGTGCTCCCGCCTTGATCTATCAAGGCGTTATTCCCGCTATAAACAGTTTATTCGTGAGTATCCCTGCATCGTGGTGATTGCTACCAAGTTTTAAAACATATTATTTGATCAAAAGCTTATAATTCCTTTTTCTCATTGCATTATTAATAGTTATCCTAATTATAATTGTTTTTACGTAGTGTGGTTCGTTAAAAGTGTTTTTTGTAGTAATTGTATGTTGTTATAGCGCCAAATAATTTGACTCAAATTTATAACGGTTTGATCATGGAGCCTAAACAAGGAGTCCGAACATAATGTAAACAAGAATCTTCCTAAGATAAGAGTGTGCTGGTATTCCGTTTATTCTGAAACAATTGTTTAATTTGTACCGAAACGCTAGCATCGACAATCAGCGCCTCTGGTGGTGAAAAAAAGAAACTTAATTTGTACAATTTAGAGGGCTGGTTTTGTCAATTTCCCCTATTAATTCGGGCTCCTTGTGTAGGCTCCATGGGTTAGATACTGGTTTGTGAATAAAAATCGTTCGTTTTTTTTCAAAGAAAGCTAATGTAGAATTTCATTTTCAAACATTGTTTGGCAAAATATCGTTGGTGATATTTTATAAATTAATTTCTTTGTATTTTTTTTTAAATTTAAAAATAAAAAGTAAAAAAATAAATGTCGCTAACGATTTTTTGACAAAAGTAATCATCAAATCTATATACCACAAAGTAACGTAAATGTAACTTAAGCGACAAGACTAATTTGACATTTTCCTAAAGATGATCTTATAAAATATCGTATGCCACAAAATTTAATAAAATTTTTAGATTGGATTCGATCTTACTTAAATATTTGAATTCTCATTAATAAAATAATACCTCACCAGTTATCAGATAAATAACTTTAAAAATAAAGCTCCCACACAAAAAAAATCTCTCCTGTAAAATTTAGGTTTTGTCGCTTACGGTGTTTTGTCAAATAACCATCGAATATTTAATACTGGGGATTATTGGGTACATTGGGAATGAGATCTTAATTAAATTTAAAACAATATTAACATTTATGAAATTATCCCCTTTGAAAATAATGTTCTTAAAACAACCAAAAATGTAATAGAAAGGTTTTTTCGTTTTTTCATTGAATTTTAAAAAAATCAAAGTGTAAAAATCAATTGACAACAAAAAGTCGATCTAGTAAACATTAACTAGTTGGTTTAAAAACGCAAAAAAAACTGAAAATCGAGAGTTTTAAATAGTTAGTCGGAAGGCGGGAAATTTATAAGGTTTGGTAACCGTATTTATTTAATTTCTAAAATAGATAAAATATATATATGTAAAATTTGTACACAGGTACCGAGAGGGCTTACTTGGAAACCCGACGAAAAAGCAAGAAAATAACGATCCGCGGGATATTCCCCGGCGCCAGAGTGGTACGCGGCGTGGACTGGCAGTGGGAGGACCAGGACGGCGGAAACGGCCGTCGCGGTAAAGTCCAGGAAGTCCAGGACTGGTCGGCGGCCAGCCCGCGATCGGCGGCCTACATCGTGTGGGACAACGGCTCGAAAAACCTCTATAGAGTGGGCTTCGAGGGCATGGCGGACTTGAAAGTCGTCAACGACGCCAAAGGCTTGAACGTGTACAGAGACCATTTGCCGTGCCTGGGGGAGCAGGGTCCGGGTCGGCAGGCGCCGCCGGGGATCAAAATAGGCGACCAGGTCAGCGTGGATTTGGAGCTGGAAATAGTCCAGTCCTTGCAGCACGGCCACGGCGGCTGGACCGACGGCATGTTCGAATGCCTGAGCAACATGGGCACCGTAGTCGGCTTCGACGAGGACCACGACATCGTGGTTGCCTACAACAGCGGCAACAGGTGGACCTTCAATCCTGCTGTTCTGACCAAAGTGGCTACTCCCACCAATTCGGCCGGTTTTAACGAAACTCCGCAGCAGCAATTCGCTGTGGGGGATTTGGTGCAAATTTGCCCCGACATGGAGAGGGTGAAGATGCTGCAAAGGGGACACGGGGACTGGGCGGACGGCATGACTGCTGTAAGTTTCTGTAAAATAATATTCTTTATCTACTCCTTTGGCATTATATTGTTTTTTTTTTCGTGAATATTGATAAACATAAATTCCCTGCCTAAAAACGTGAATAATAAACTCATTATTCACGTTGATTGGCCGATTTCAATATTCACTGTGATTTTAACCAATCAGGTTTTAAATTGAAAGAAGGCGACTAAGTATAATAACATTTAAAATTCGAAGTGACTAGGTGCACGTTAGAGTGCCTGCAATTTATTTTTTACGGGCACGCTAGTGACGTAATAGATAAAAACGTCATCACTGCCGTGCCGCTTAATTTAAAATTGGCGGCACGACAATAATATAATAATAAATTGTACTACCTGTATACTTGTTTATAGGGTGTCTCTCAGATTTTATTCGTGAAAATTTTGTAATCGAACTTACAAAAATAGGAAGAAAAATGTAGGTTTAAGAACTTGTAAGCTCTAAAGCTTTGTTTTCAAGATACAGGGTATTAAAGTTAATAAAAAAAATATGGTTCTGTCACTTTATTGTAAGTTTAATATTATATTTAGATTTTTTCAGGACAAATAAACAAATTTTTAATGATATCATCATCAGGGTTAACCCTGTTTAAAAAAGATTTGACTTATGTACTTTATAGTATTAAGTTCATACCAAAAGAACTGATCTTTAAAATATGAAAACGTTCAATTTCCTACCTAAACAAGGTGCTAAATAGGAAGTCTATACTAAAAGGAAATAAAAGAACTGATCTTTAAAAAAGAAAAAGTTTCAACCTGACAAAAACTACTTAAGTTCTATCTACAACCTTAACAAGATTTGACCCGACGAAAACAATCTAAAAAAAATAGAAAAAAGAGTGAGGGCCCTCCTCCTTTATCCGGGCTTGGGACCGGCAGGTTAAAAATACCTGGCGGAGTTACCCTCCACCCTCCTTATCATATTATGTACCTAAAATTTCCTAAAACAGATAAAGTATTTAAATAAACAAAAACACGCAAGAAACAAATTTACTGGTTGTATACATACTCCCATATAAGATTCACTCGCACTCTGAAGTTCCAAGAAGTCCAAGATGTCCATGTCAGGTCGAAATGAAGGAATTAGGATAATAGGAAGGGTAGAAAAGGAAAACGACAGATAATTAAGTTACAAATAGATTAGCGCCGGTGCGCAACAACATGCTCCACGTTAAAAACGGGTTAGCACGGATTACCGATGTTCCGAGACAAAATCCAAAAAGTACTTTCAAGATCCATCTACCATTTTAATTTAATTAAACAACCTAAAGATTGTAAAATTGAACTAAAATGGGTCTAAATGGAAGGAATAAAAAGGAGGGTTTTATAGGAAACTCCTGGGCGCCTGGTTCCATAGGATAATCACTATCTAAAACAGACTACAACGACGAAAAGAATTTAAAATATATGTGTCCTACCCAAAAGCGAACAAATAAAGAATTATTTTCATCTCCAACTTGAAATTTGACCTGACGAAAAGAATTTAAACAAAATTTTGACCTATGATCTCTACAAAAACGAAATAAAAGAACTGATCTTTAAAAAAAGAATAAGTTCCATATCCAACTTAAAGAATCTAATAACAATTTGACTTACGACCACTAACAAAAACAAACTAAAAGAACAAATCTTTAAAAAAAAAGAATAAGTTCCATATCCAACTTAAAGAATCTAATAATAATATTACTTACGACCCCTAACAAAAACGAACTAAAAGAACTGATCTTTAAATAAAGAATTAGTTCCATATTTGCCCTAACAAAAAGAATCTAAACAAAATTTTGATCTACAATCCCTACAAAAACAAAGTATAACAACTAATCTTTAAAAAAAGAATAATTTTCATATCCAACTTAAAAAAAAATTAATGACAATTTGACTTACGACCCCTAACAAAAAGAAGTGATCTTTAAAAAGGAATAAGTTCCATATCCAACTTAAAAAGACTAATGACAATTTGATTTACGACCCCTAACAAAAACAAACCAAAAGAACTTATCTTTAAATAAAGAATTAATTCCATCTCCAACTTAAACAAGATTTGCGCTGACAAAAAGAATCTAAAAAAATTTTGATTTACGACCCCTTAGAAAAAAAAGAACTGATCTTTAAAAAAGAATATGTTCCATATTTAACTTAAAAAAAACTAATGACAATTTGACTTACGACCCCTAACAAAAAAAACCAAAAGAACTTATCTTTAAATAAAGAATTAATTCCATCTCCAACTTAAACAAGATTTGCGCTGACAAAAAAAATCTAAAAAAATTTTGATTTACGACCCCTAAGAAAAAAAAAGAACTGATCTTTAAAAAAGAATAAGTTCCATATTTAACTTAAAAAAAAACGAATGACAATTTGACATATGACCCCTAACAAAAACAAACTAAAAGAACTTTAAATAAAGAATTAGTTTCATCTCCAACTTAAACAAGATTTGCCCTAACAAAGAGAATTTAAAAAAGTTTTACGACCCCTAACAAAAAAAAGAACTAATCTTTAAAAAAGAATAAGTTCCATATCCAACTTAAAAAAACTAATGACAATTTGACTTAGGACCCCTAACAAAAACAAACTATTTGATTTACGACCCCTAACAAAAAAATTAACTGATCTATAAAAAAGAATAACCCCTAACAAAAAAAGAACTAATCTTTAAAAAAGAATAAGTTCCATATCCAACTTAAAAAAACTAATGACAATTTGACTTACGACCCCTAACAAAAACAAACTAAAAGAACTTATCTTTAAATAAAGAATTAGTTCCATCTCCAACTTAAACAAGATTTGCGCTGACAAAAAGAATCTAAAAAAATTTTGATTTACGACCCCTAAGAAAAAAAAAAGAACTGATCTTTAAAAAAGAATATGTTCCATATTTATCTTAAAAAAAACACTAATGACAATTTGACTTGCGACCCTAACGAAAGCAAAACTAAAATAACTTATCTTTAAATAAAGAATTAGTTTCATCTCCAACTTAATCAAGATTTGCGCTGACAAAAAGAATCTAAAAAAATTTTGATTTACGACCCCTAAGAAAAAAAAGAACTGATCTTTAAAAAAGAATAAGTTCCATATCCAACTTAAAATAACTAATGACAATTTGACTTACGACCCCTAACAAAAACAAACTAAAATAACTTATCTTTAAATAAAGAATTAGTTCCATCTCCAACTTAAACAAGATTTGCCCTAACAAAAAGAATCTAAACAAGTTTTGAGTTACGACCCCCAACAAAAAAAAAGAACTGATCTTTAAAAAAGAAAACCCCTATCATAAACGAAGTAAAAGAACTAATCTTTAAATAAAGAAAGTTCCATCTCCAAATTTAAACAAGATTTGACCTGACAAAAAGAATCTAAAAAAGTTTTGACCTACGTTACCTACAAAAACGATGTAAAGGAACTAATCTTTAAAAAAAGAATAAGTTTCTTCTCCAACTTAAACAAAATTTGACCTAAACAAATATTAGAAATATTCCCCAAAACAAAACACAAATTGCTTAAAGTACTTTCCGCCAATGATGTTGGTATCTTCAGACGCGAAGTGTAACTAAATCTAAATGCTAAATCTACCATATTTATACTAATTATAAGCTAAGGTTGACTAAACCGTAAACGGACACTGGACCGTAATTGCTTCAGTGAACATGTAAACAGAAACTAACAAACTAATTTAAACAAACTAGACTAGGGTACCGGTCCGTTATCGCTATTCAAAGATTTATTTCTATTCTTATAGATGTATAAACCTTCATAACTATCTAGCAGACTTGGTTCTTAACTTCCTTAATAAGTTTAAGGTTGTCAAATTCTATTCTATGACCATCATCAAGTATATGTTGGGCAATACTCGATTTCTCTGTCCTACCAAATCTAGCATTGGCCAAGTGCTAGATTTTGTAACACAGAGAAAACGAGCGGATGTTGAGCAACATTCGGTTTCTCTGTACTACCAAATCTAGCATGGGCCAAGTGCTAGATTTGATAGGACAGAGAAATCGAGTGTTGCCCAACACATACTTGATGATGGTCGTAGAATGGGATTTGGTAACCTTAAACTTACGCCTACTAGATAGTTATAAAAGTTTATACATCTATAAGAATAGAAATAAATGTTTTAATATCGATAACGGACCATGGTACCCAACTAGAGTTTGTTAGTTTCCCTTTACGTGTTCACTGAAGCGATGACGGTCCAGGGTTTAGTAAACTATAATAATTAGTATATATCTGGTAGATTTAGCATTTATATTTAGTTACACTTCGCTTTTGAAGATGCCAACATTGTTGGCGAAAAGTACTTTAAGCACTTTGTGTTTTGTTTCGGTAATATATCACCAAGGAACAAGATTTGAACTGACCAAAGGCTTTGTTATCTATGGAACTGACAAAAAGAATCTAAAGCAGTTTTGACTTACTACCCCTAACATAAAAAAAAGAAAAAGAACTGATCTTTAAAAAATAATAAGTTCCATCTCCAACTTAAAGAATCTAATAAAAATTTGACTTACAACCCCTAACAAAAACGAGCTAAAAGAACGGATCTTTAAATAAAGAATTAGTTCCATCTCCAACTTAAACAAGATTTGCCCTAACAAAAAGAATCTAAAAAAGTTTTGACTTACGACCCCTAACAAATAAAAAAGAAAAAGAACTGATCTTTAAAAAAAGAATAAGTTTCATTTCCAACGTAAAAAAACTAATGACTATTTGACTTACCACCCTAAACAAAAACGAACTAAAAGAAATTATCTTTAAATAAAGAATTATTTCCTTCTCCAACTTAAACAAGATTTGCCCTAACAAAAAGAATCTAAAAAAATTTTGACCTACGACCCCTAACAAAAAAAAACTGATCTTTAAAAAAGAATAAGTTCCATATCCAACTTAAAGAAAGTAATGAAAATTTGACTAACGACCCCTAACAAAAACGAACTAAAAGAACTTATCTTTAAATAAAGAATTATTTTCATCTCCAACTTAAACAAGATTTGCCCTGACAAAGGGAATCTAAAAAAGTTTTGATTTACGACCCCTAACAAAAAAAAGTACTGATCTTTAAAAATATTCCAATAAACACAATTTGACCTGATAAAAAAATCTAAAATAAATTTTGAAGCACGACCCCTTCACAAAAAAGAACTAATCTTTAACTAAAGAATAAGTTTCATTTTCAACTTAACCAACTTAAACAAGATTTGACCTGACAAAAAGAATCACAAAATTTTGACCTAAGATCCCTAACAAAAAGGAACTAAAAGAACTGATCTTTAAATAAAGAATTAGTTCTATCTCCAACTTAAACAATATTTTACCCGACGAAAAGATATTTAAAGAAATTTCGATAAAAAAATTAAAAATAATTAATTGGTAGGTACTTGCCAAATTCCTTGATGAGTTCTGGTTAAATCTTATTATCCTTATATGGTTTTCTTATTTCTTATTATCCATGGGTTAATGCTATAACATGTTGAACCTAGAAAAAAATACAATTAGACGATTTAAGGGCTGCAACTTTTGTGTATTTATTTTTTTTAAATATCAAAAAAAATCGTAGTAATATTTGAGATAATAGATGCGTTAGAATTCTAATAATACGTATATAGGTAGGTACATAGCAATTTGTATACAAATACATCTATAGATGTAGATCAAAGTAATAAATGAGCATGTTTGTCTTATCAAAGCCAATTTACAACTAAATGGTTGATTACGTTGTAGGGATTATAATTATTTTTATCAGCAAAAACAAAAAAAGGGTGAGTCAGACTTGCGCGATAAACATATTACGTTAAGGGTGACAAATTTTAATAATAGATATATTTGTTATTTATTATTTTATTAATACTCAAATAATCTAATTTCGATTATACAGTTTCCCAAAAATTACGCACCATTTTGAGTTATTAGGGTTTAAAAATTTAATTTGCTTTGTGTTATTTTCTAAAGACGTTTTAAAAATAAAAACTTAAATAAGAATCATTTTTATACGTATACTTTTTACACTTATTGCAACCATGGTTGATATTTTTGTTGAAAATATTTAACACAAAAATTATAGAGACAGTGTGACCCATTTGTTTGCGACTCACCCCTGTAAAATCTTTATTTATTGTGCGACTTTAACCGGATTTGTTTTAAAGTGTAGATCTTGATAAACCGTATTTTTGGAGCAAAAAACGCCATATTTGTACAAAATACAAGGCCTACTATGTCAGGTTTTAAGATTAAATTTTTAAAAATTCATATTAGTGATTTTTTTAAACAAAATCTAAGCACGGCACTGGATTCACCACCCCTCAAATCGACCCTACATTAAATTTTATTGAAAAATTTTAAGTAGGAAAATGCACAATAATAACTACAAAATTTTATTCGGTCAAGTTATCCATGAAAAAACATTGAAGGGTCGTTTTGAGGGGTGGTGAATCCAGTGCCATGCATAGATTTTGTTTAAAAAATCGCTAATATGAATTCTTAAAAATTTACTCTAAAAAGTGACATAGTAGGCCTTGTATTTGGTACTAATATGGCGTCTTTTGCTCCAAAAATACAGTTTATCAAGATCTACACTTTAAGACAAATCAGGTTAAAATCGCACAATAAATAAAGAATTTACAGGGGTGAGTCGCAAACATAAATATATAAATATATATATATTGATTTTAAACAACAAAAAACTATTTAAATTTTCTAAACGTTAAAATCAAAGGCGATTTTATGAATAAAAGTTGACTAAACAAGTTTGAAGAAATTTAGTTAAAAAAACTTAAAAAATAGCGAATAAATAGGTACCTACTTTTATTTTAGTCAATAAATTTAAAAATAATTAATTGGTACTTGCCAAATTTATTGATGAGTTCTGGTTAAATCCCATTATCCTTATATGGTTGTCTTATTTCTTAATATCCATTGGCTTAATAGCTATGGCTTTAACATGTTGGTCCTAGAAAAAAAATACAATTAGACCATTTAAGGACTGCAAATTTTATGTTTTTTATTTTTTTAAATATCAAAAATATTCGTAGTATTATTTGACCTAATAGATTTGTTAGAATTCTAATAATACCTAGCAATTTGTTGTAAATAAAAGTAATAAATGAGCATGTTCGTCCCATCGAATCCAAATTACAACTGAACGCTTGATTACGTAGGGATTATAATTGTTTCTTATTAACAAAAAAAAAAACAAAAGGATGAGTCAGACCTGCGCGATAAACATATTACGTTACGGGTGACGAATTTCTTAATTATATATTTGTTATTTATTATTTTATTAAAAATCAAATAATGTAATTTCAAATATGGTTTCCAAAAATTACGCACCATTTTGAGTAATTAGGGTTTAAAAATTGAATTTAATTTGTGTTAATTTGTGAAAATAAAAACTTAAATAAGAAACCTTTTTATAAATAGGTACTTATTGGTTGATATTTTTGTTAAAAATATTTAACACAAAAATTATAGATATATACAGTGTGACCCATTTGTTTGCGACTCAACCCTGTAAAATCTTTATTTATTGTGCGATTTTAACCGGATTTGTTTTAAAGTGTAGATCTTGATAAACTGTATTTTTGGAGCAAAAGACGCCATATTAGTACCAAATACAAGGCCTACTATGTCACTTTTTAGAGTAAATTTTTAAGAATTCAACGCCATATTTGTACAAAATACAAGGCCTACCATGTCAGATTTTAAGAGTAAATTTTTAAGAATTTATATTGGCGATTGGTTCGTCAGTGTGACGTATTACACTTGTAAGACTTGACTGACAAAGATTTTCGCGTTATATTCCAGACTTTGGGTAAAGTCGGCCACGTGCAGCAAATCTACAACGACAACGACTTAAAAGTGGAGGTGTGCAACACAACTTGGACGTACAACCCTTTGGCGGTGACGAAGCTGGCCAGCAAAGACGGCACGGTGCACGGAACGACGAGCGGCGAGAGATTGAGCGCTCTGCTGAAAAAATTGTTCGAAACGCACGTGTCGGGCGACGTGAACGAGGAGCTGGTGAAGTCGGCCGCCAACGGCGACTCGCAGAAGTGCGAGGAGGTGCTGAAGCAGAGCAACACGCAGGGCGCCGGCATAGGGCCGGACGTGAACGGGGTGTTCGCGGGCCACACGGCCCTGCAGGCGGCCAGCCAGAACGGCCACCTGGAGGTGATCGCGGTGCTGCTGCGGTCGCAGGCGGACGTGGAGATCGAGGACAAGGACGGGGACCGCGCGGTGCACCACGCGGCTTTCGGGGACGAGCCGGCCGTCGTTCAGCTGCTGGCGCACGCCGGGGCCGATTTGAACGCGAGGAACAAGAGGAGGCAGACGGCCTTGCACATTGGGGTCAACAAGGGGCACATCGGGGTCGTGAAGATGCTGCTGGATCTGGGCTGCCATCCCAGTTTACAGGTTAGTGACACTTTGAATTCATGTTAAAAAGCGTAATAGTGTTGGGATCACTCCAGTGAAAAATAACCCATTACCCGGTTATTGAAATAACCTGAATTATTCGGTTATGAGTTTCGGATCCAAGTAATAAACAACCGGTTATTTGCGCAGTTGGAAAGTCTGAAACGCTGTGTAAATACCACATACCACATACTCTGCCTCATACTTCCACACATATACAAATCATTTCTAACTGAGACTGTTTCCATTTCGTGGGGGTAAAGTAGGGGAAATGTTCTCACAGGGTAGCGGGCATTGAGGCGCATGCGTCAGCTGCAATGCCGGTTTTTAAAAAAATAACATATTTTTGTGCCTATTTAAGAAGTATAATAAATACTTTTTAATAAATTGGATATAAATTGTATGAAATAAGCATTTAACAATAATAAACTCACAAAATGATGATATTTTAGATTTTATAATGGCATTTTTATAAAAGCAAGAATTTGGCAACATCGTATTTTGATCACGATTATCGTACAGTTGTATTCAATAAAAAAGCGTACAAGAATTAGAATGAGAGAAAACTGTCAAAATAATATTATTGCTTAAAACCGGCTTATCACTGACATAAGTCATTAAAATAATTATTATAGGTTATAAAGAGCATTGACGTCGTACCTAGGTTAATTAAATAATATTACAAAAATTATTACCTTTTAATAATGAAAAAACAAACATTAAAAAATATTTAATATTTAGTCATGCATCCCTGTTTTTCTATTACTTGAGCCAATCTATTTGGGATGAACTGAATTAAATTTAATACAATATTTGGATTAATATCTTCCCAGCAGTATAGTAGGTATAGTAGTTGTATAGTTTCCCATAAATCCTCAGATATCTCAAAAAAGCAGCATCCTGTTCAGGGGTGGACATTTTGGGACGACTTGAACCAACTTTTTGGTTTAGTAAATCTTCCTGTTCCCAGCGTTGCTTAATTTTTAATATAGATTTTTTATTTCTATTATACCACATTACGAATTGACCATTCTTCTTCGATTCTTGATACTATTTGAGCCTTTTTAACTGACGAGGCATTTTTATTTTCTTCTGTCAGTTATAGTGACTTAAGTCAGTGGAAAGCCGGTTTTACGCAATAATGTTGACAGCTTTCTCTCATTCTAATTCTTGTACGCTTTTTTAATGAATACAACTGTATCATAGCCAAACGATTTTTATGATAGACATATAAATATGTAGATGGTTATTATAATTATCAATTTTGTTTGTTTTCTGTTGTATACCAATTGTTTTGGCATTGTTTTTTTCCATTGTTTTTACGAGATTTTAGTGGATTTTACATAATATGAAAAAATTTATATAACCTAAATTTTATTTAGTTGACAATTCGTATCATAAGTGGACGTATTAATTTCTCAATCTAATGTTATGTGATGTCTATGGTATCATATATTTTAAATCCCCCACTTATGAACTGACTATGCGCATAAAGGAAAATGGCACACTACGAGAACAAATTTCCCCTTAGAAACGGGAACAAGGTCATCTATACAAAATATAGGCAATAAGCGGTATATGTGTGGAAGTATGTGGTAAATACAGTATCTGTAATATACAGGTTATATTTTAGTTAGAGTTACAGAAATCTGCTCATTTGACAGTTGAAGTTTGTTTAAAATTTGAATTCATAGAAATTTGTTAACAAAAATTAGCATTAAGTTTAAATTACTATGTGGAAAAACAAAAAATTTAATTACTTGTATTAAAAATTTCATAATAATTTTTTGCCTACCAAAATTATGTTGAAAAACTACCAAAAAAGTAGATTTCTAGAAAAATGGTAGGTAATACTGCTTGAACATTATATTTATGCATAGAAATAATACATTAGTATTATTTCTATGCGTTTATGCAAGTCCTTTTTAAGGAATCGGGTAAACCGGAATGTAAAGAAGCAACGCCGAACGTCTCGTTATTTAGCCCCACCCCACGATGAGCATTCAAGTGATCGTCATTCGAGTGATAATCCGGTTTTTGAAATCACTTGAATACTCGGAAGTCGGTTATTTAAATAAATCGGTTATACCCAACACTAAGCGTAATGCCAAAATTGCAGGCGCAAAATCGCATGCGCAAACGATAAAATTACAACTTAATAATATCTTTATTAGCCAGAATGCTATACAGAAAAGGGGGCATCCATTAATTACGTGAGGTGTTTAGGGGGAGGGGGTCGAGCCAAACCTCACCGAAACTCACGTGGGGGGAGGGTGGTCTCGGCAAATATCACATAATTTTTTCTTTTCGAATGAAACAGTGTAAAATTGCGAGAAAACTGGGTTAAATTAAGTAAACAATTATAAGCAAATTTTTTTGTTTTAATAAATCTAATGGAATCAATCACAGATTAACTTATTTACATTAAAACCATGCATTTAAAAAACTCTCACGTGAGATTAAGGGAGGAGGGAGGGGGTCGAGCAAAATCTCACATCTCATCAAGAGGAGGGGGAGTCGAAAAATCGCCAAAATTGCCTCACGTAATTAATGGATGACCCCAAACAGGAAATAGTATAATTAAATAAATAATATAATAAATTATAATAACACAGAAGAAATAAATACAATCAGAAACTTAATACAATATAAAATATATAAATATAAATAGTATACTATATATATATATATATATATATATATATATATATATATATATATATATATATATATATATATATATATATATATATATATATATATATATATATATATACAGGTTGTCATTTAACTTGAAACATTGAAATATCCTAGTTATTATGCATTTTACGAAAAAATTTTTAAAATAAAAATTAAATGATTCGAGGGGGAAAATCAATCAGTACTAAAATTTGTAATAAATGGCGCTGTAATGAAAAAAAATCAATTTTGTTCGATTATTCTTCTTTAAACGATTCTCCAATAATTTTTGAATAAAATGCTTGGTTTTATTTTTTAAATTTATTTCTTTATTTTTTAAATTTTTTTTAAAGTGAGTTCTCAAAATGGTGGCCTTCGACAATGCATTTATTAATTCGCATTTTGTTTTAATATTCTGCCAACACTGCTCGTGAGTTTCTTTATACCTCAATAATAATTATTATTTTTAACTAAATACCATTTTTTTATACCTCTTAAATGAGGTATTTTTATTAAAAATAGTACAAATTAAAGGATTTAATGCTGGCAGGTAAAAAGTGATCATAGTGCGCAATTGATAATTATCACCGAATGAAATAATGTATAAAACTTAAACCAAAGGAAACTTAAATATTAAATAAAAAATCGTGGGTAGTTAAAAAACGGATTTAATTTAATAAGATAATTATTACCAAAAAAAGTAATATTTTTATAGACAAATTATTGAAGAATCGTATAAAGAAAAACCGAACAAAATTGATTTTTTTTTCATCATTAATTTAATTTTAAACATTTTTTCGTAAAATGCATACTAACTGAGATATTTTAAAGTTTTATGTTAAATGACTCATCCTGTATATGTTACGGCTAATGTGCAAACTTGTATAGTTTATAACTAGCTGGATAGTTTATAAACTAGCCAAACTGTCATATTTTAATTGAAAACGTATTTTTAACTAAATTGGCGGCTAGTTTGTAAATCAACCAAGGCTAATTTACTTGAAATTATTTATAAAACTAAAATAGCTGGATAATTCGTAAACTATCCAATTCAATTTGGGTAATATGAAAACCAAAATTTCTAGTAACAAAAAATACCCAAGCTTTAGGTAGGTAGTTTCTAGACTAACCAACCAATATTCTGGCTGGTTTTTTTAAATTTTATTTTTTATTTATAAAGAATCCTTTTATTTTATGTTACTGGAAATTTTTGTTTTTATATTAGACAAATTAATTGAATTGGATAGGATACAAACTATCCAGATATTTTAGTTTCCCTAATAATTTTAAGTAAATTAGCCAAGATCCTTGGTTATTTTGTAAACTACCCGCTAATTTAGTTGTATGTTCGGAGATAGCTTATTAAATTCACCCTTGTATATAGTAAAATTGTACTGTTTTTTATCTATCAAGTTAAAAATTCTTTATATTATTGTGGACATAACGCACATATTTAACATTATCGGACAAGTAATCATGCACTAAATTGTTGTTAACTTAAAAATAAACAACATAACGTCAACAATCTCGTTTCGCGCATACTAAAAATCACTCAACGGCGGCCATTTTTATATTGGAAATCAACGTTAACGAATTTATTAATTTATTCTGATTATATATCTACGGCCATGGATATGATATAACTCTATATATACAGATTTTAAAAAGGCGTTTGACAGGGTTGATATTGGTTTATTGCTTTTGAAACTTAAGTCTTACGGTATAACTGGTGCTTTACACAGATGGCTAGAAGGTTACCTAACTAATAGAAGGCAAATTGTAGTTATTTTAGGATACCATACCATATTTTATTGATGTAACTTCAGGAATACCGCAAGGGTCACATTTGGGCCCTATTTAATTTTTGCTTTTTATTAAGGACATTACTACATGTGTTGAATCAGATCTTAATCGTATTATGTAATGGCAATTTTCTTGAGTTAAATATAAGTAAATGTAA